AAGGCACGTAAAGGATATCTCACTGACAGCTTTTGTTTCCCTAAAATAGAGTTCTGTGGCTGGGAAGCACTTGAAAGGTATCAGTGGGGCTATTTTTAATCTCAGCAGGCTGTTCTTACAAAATCCATTTGTAAAGAGACAGGAACGGCTTGTGTTTCTAAACCTGCTCCAAGATGATATGTTAGTGGCAAACCTCTCCCCTAAACACATGTAACAATTTTATTTCAAAGAAATTCAGTGATAAAAAGAACATAAATTACTTCTCAGATTTCCAGAAACATCTTTTCCCTTGCGTCTGTCATTTGAATGGCCACTGTATGATTAAATTAAAGAAAAAATTGTATCAACTAGCATTTTCTTGTCATATCCTACTCCACTGTAGATCTCCCTTGGAATAGCTAACACAATAATCCTTTCTTAGGAGGAATGAAACCTATGAAGCTATCTTAAATCTCTGTCTTGCCCTGCATTGAAAAGCTTTGTTACAGTAACATATGAGAACCTCTTTACCACTCACTGCAATTTCCAACAAATAGAATTTGGCTTTTAAATATGATTTTATAGCATAAGCTTAGACAAATCTGAAAAAGTCAAGATAACTGTTCCCTCCTGTAGAGGTAACAAGAAGGTAAACTCATGACAGGTAAGGCTCATTGCCATTTTAAGCATTCTGTTGAGACAATTTGAGCTTCATCGATTTCATTTGCATTTCACCCCACTGTATCACTTAGATATTGCAATTTAAGCAGCAAAGCAGAGGCACAGATCTTCAGCTTGTGCTAAAGTCAGGTCATGGGTTGACTGAAGTGATAATTAAACTAAAACAATGCAGCAAGGACAATGTTTTAGAGTTTACAAGCTAGTAAGGAAAGCAAGATTTTTCTCAACTTGTTACTGAATGCAAGGAGTTTTCTTTGTATTACTCTGATTTTTGCCGATCATTAGAATGATCTTCCAAGCAGTACTTTATTCGCAAACATAAATGTCTGAAAATTTAGGACTTTTTCCTTTTAGGATATTTGTATCAGCATAACGATGCCAGTGCACCTTCAGTTATGAGCATTGACTGCTGTAGTTCATCCTAACTTGAGTAACTAAATAAAATGCACCAGTACCTAATCTGCAACAAGATACATTGATGGAAACGCTTCTATTTACACAGATTGCCATTCCCTTGTCACACAAGGATACATCTGCATTGAGGATATATGTTTAGTAGTTGGCACCTTTTCTAGAAGAACAGCTGAGGTACTAGAGCATATCCCTGGATTCACAGTGGCTTGGGGATCCAATACTACATGGATCTTTATTAGCCAGATTAGGCATTAATCTAATGCCTAAGCAAGACACAGTGAGCACGTTTATTCTGCATCTGTTACCATAGCTGTGCCTGCTAGTTTAAAACGAGTAGCCATGGATTTATGGTAGCAGAGTAGAGAACTGGCTGCAACCTGGGCTGCTCCACCAAAGGCAGCCACTGTTGGGTTTTCAGGATGGAGACAGGTCTTACACTCTCTTCCTCACCTCCAACTGATCCACTTCCGTTATGTGAGCAGGAAGAATTAACCATCAGCCGGGGAGGGGGGGGGATCATCAGTTAATTCACTCACCGCCTTTCACAGCTGCTGCCTGAGCCCGCGGCCTTCAAATCGGACGAGGAGCAGGCCGAGGCCTGGTGGGCCCTGCTCCCCGGGCAGCCCCGGGAGGGGGGCTGTGCTGGGCTGCCCCAGCCGGCCTCCAGTGCTCAGGCAGCCTCATCAGCTCCCCCCCCAGCCCCTGCAGAGGGGTGGATTTTAAATCCTCCTCAGGTGCTGCTGCTACAGCCACTACCCAAACTTCAGGCCTTGGCATTTAAGGCGCACCCCCCCTCCCCCCATATCTCTGCTATGAAGTTCAGTCCCTGAGCATCTTTTCAGTAAGTTTTAGGTGAGGCAGTAAGTAAGAAAATTAATGATACAGGCTTGAAGGAGCTGATCATTCATCTTTGAGAAACGAGGATTTGAGCACTAAAGGTATTTCAAGTCACAGAAGGAGAGAAGGAATTCTGATAAGGTTTGCTTGCATTTTGCAATTTAATTCCCTCCTGTGACTTTTATAAAGAGCATTAAGTGAAGCCTCCCATTGCCCGGAGCAATTAAACCTTGTTTAGTATTTATGTATCAGTGCTGAAATTCAGGATGAGACATAATTGATGCTGTGGTGTGCAATGTGTGCTGCATGGGCTACAGTGTCAGCTTATTTGGCTAGCAGGCTCAGCACTGATTTGAGGTAGTTTGAATATTGAAAGTGTTACTTGGTGTCTCAATATGTTTTTGTGTTAACGTTTGTTTTAAGTGGAGTTTTAGGTGAAGCATGGGGCTAGCTTGACTATTTCCGTGCTGTGTGGTACTGTGTATTTACTAATGCTCTGCAACATCCCTAGGTTTCAGCTAAGTCTTCTGTACGTTAATTAAAAACATTTAAGTATCTCTATTCCTGGTATGTAGTTAGTGGTAATTGCTTTGAAGGAAAGGCATGTGCATTGTATTAGCAGCAGGAAGGCTGAATTGGTAGGTTTTAAATGGAAATTGTGGCAGCATCAGAGTAAGTTTCACATCCAGCTGGGAAGTAATAATAGGCCTGAAGAGGTTGTGTTTGTCTAAGTCACATGTATTTTTCATGTGAAAGGATTTTTCACTTGAGCAATAACACAGCTTTTTGTCTCAGGAAAACTGCTGAAAGAACTTAAATAGGACTGTTGTTTTTGATGGTAGTTGATGTCACCTCTGAAAGGCACTTAATATGCTAAAAGAGCATACTAGTAGATGAGAATTTTTTTAACTTTATGGCTTATGGTAATAATTTTTTTTTGCTGTTGATCTTACCCTGCACACTTCTTTCTAGCAGTATGTAGTAACTAGAAAGTAGGAATGTTTGTCTGCTTGTGTAGTTTTAAACAGATTTGGATTAAACTGTAATTTACTAACAACACAGAGCATGACAGTGTACTCTCTGTGAAACACCTGTCTGATAATAGAATGTATTTGGTACAGAACCTAACTGTGGCACCTGTCTTATTTGTTAAATAATAGTGTTGTTCAGAAAACAAAAGTACAAAACAATGTAAACTTGCTTGCATATTTTCCATAATATTTATTTGTTAAATAATAACAATGTGCAACAGTCAAGTGTTAACCTTTGATAAGTTGACTTTGGTTTTAGAGGTATCCTTTGTTCTAATACCATAATAATCAAAATACGCATCTCATTATGATCAGTGTTTTTATTATGAAGACCTATTTATGTGCTTAGTACAATTAACGTGATGTGTCTGACACACTTTGCTATCTCAACTGGCATGTTGGAGGCAGGGGAGTAGTATTACTTTAGTTTCTTTGTGTTCATTCTTCCAAAAGGTAGTGCTTTCTGAATTTTAATCTTCCCATCTTCTCTTGTACTGTGATCATGAAAAAGCACGTTCCAGACAGAAACTACTAACACCTACTGCAGGTCCAAAAAAAACCAACAACTACCCACACCTCAATTACTATTCAAACTAGAAGGTGAGAAGCCAGAAATGCTGTTGTGTCATTTGATTAGACAAAATGACCTGCAAAAATACATACAATACCATTCATAGACTTTCAATAGCCTTTAGTAGTATTTGATGAAAGTAAGTTTATTGCATTTATCACGAGCTTTTTGTTTTGAAAGTTATTTATGTGCAAATAATCTTCCTTGCTACATCTTTCACTGTTTCGTTTGATGTACAAAGTTGTCTCTGTATGATGTCTATGATTGGTTGCAGAAACATCTAATAATTGGAATTCTGTGCTCATGTCTTTTTTAAAAGCTAGAAAACTAGTAGTGAGTAATTATCAAAGAAACTATTTTCCATATAAGTCAGAACAGTAGCTTTAGCCAGGGGTTCCCAAATGGTGTGTTTCAGATATGGTTCTGCAAAGATCTGCTCAAGAGCACAGAAGTGGATATTTCAAGCACTGACAGTAAAAGCAGTAGGACTTTGAGTTACTTTCTATTATGCAGAGATCAATATAATGAATGGTGATTAAATATTATAAATTGTTAGTATTCTTAGACATTGTTCGTAATAAACAGAAGAGGAAACTGAGAGAACTGTAAGAGTGGGGAATTTTTGTTCATTTAGGACATTAGGAATGGATTGTGTTTGCATGTAATTGTAATTTTTGTGTTTTTCAAATATCTTATGTCTGTAATGGGAGGAAAGTTGTATCTTGATTTCCCCAAATTTCTTCACATGGAGACAGGGGCAGTGTAACTAAAACAGATGTATGAAAAGAGGAAATGTTGTCTGAAAACATGCTGAGTAAGCAGGACACTACAAGACATTGTTACCTCCTAGTACACATAAAATTAATTTAAGATTAACAGGAATCCTAAATGTAACTGAAATTATCCTTCATTAATTTCTTCAGTTTTCTTCTTTTCGAGTTCCGTTCCAATGCTGAGCCAGAGAATGGGGAGAAAGATTTATTGTCAATTATATTTCCTTTAATGTATTATAGCTATTTAATTTTTAAAAGTAAAAAATGTATGTTACACTTAAAGATTAATTGGAATTTTAACTCTAGTTGATTGGTTAAACTAATGCACACAGGTTGTTGATACTCATTAGCTCTATGTTAATAAAGGAGCAGTCTTCTAGAGCAAGTTCTTGTTGTGAGTTAAGAAAGTCAGCTAAGTGTTCTGTTGTTCTTACAGATTTTTACACTGTTACAGTGTGCTAGAGGTTGAGAGCCATGAAATCCTGACTTCAAAGTAAACCAAATAAATTACCTTGCAGGAATGTGTTCTTAGTACAATTACTGAAAAACCAAACAGAAATCAAAAGCAGCACACACACTCCCCTGCCAACATTGTAATAATTCAAAAAAGTCTCTAGCATGAGTATCTAACAACTGTTTCATTTATATGTAACCAAACAGCCATTGCTCCTTTATTCAGCTAAATTATTTTGATTCGTACCTTGACTTGCAGATGATTTGAGATGCAGAGTTTTACTGAGGTGCTGGAGAATGAAAGAAAAAAAAATTAAGGTATTGTAACATGTAAGAGGATGCTAATCTTAAATTCAGACTTAGTGTTGAAAGTGGAGTATGATAGCTTTAGAATAGATGTTCTTTCCAGTTACTTAAGGAGATGTAATGTTCCTAAAGCAAGCTTTGCAAGATGATATTATTAAGCTTTGAGCCATGTGTTCACTGTGCCCTATAGCACTGGACAGAAATACTTGAGTTGGCCATTGAACTGCTGGTGAGATGTCTTAGGCTGAACTGCTTGCTGCCAAGACCCCAGTGAGGGTATCAGTGTCCAGCACTGCAGGGGGTACTGCGTACATGTTTCTGACATGTTGAACTCTATGCTGCGTGGAAATGCCTTCAGGCTTGCCATGCTGAACACTGATCTCCACAAATGGCTGTTATGCAGGTTGCTTTCACAACTTTTTCTGGTATTAATTCGTATTGACAAGTAGATAAATGTGTAGCAGCTTTACCAAAAATATTTAGTCAGTATTTCTTACTGTGTTGCAAATGTGACTTTTTTTTTTTTTCCCTCCCCCTGCCCCTTTGGACAAACAAAATAAATTATCAATGTTTATGATGTAATACGCACTACCTTTTGCATAGACATAACAGCTAATGACTTAAATTAAGACTTTGAATTACCAATTATGGCACAAAAGATAATAAAATTACTCAAAACACAGTGTTTGTAGATAGACCTCCCTTCCAGTAATAAGTATCTTCTCTAGAAATATTGTCAGAATTATAATAATTGTTCACCTTCAGACCTGTATTACCTAGCAAGTAACCTGACTCTGTAACAACAGTGTAGACTGAAAACCACAATCTTGCTGGTGCATGTAATGAACAAACTTTTTATATACTACCGAAGAAATCAGGGTTAGATAAAGGGCGATTATGGTTTATTTTTTTAGATATCCATTACTCTTTCTTCATTGCAGTATTAGTGTTGTACATAAGGTTTGTCTGATTACCTCTGACATCCAATCTGCATTCTATTTCAGCTTCACCACACTCATTAACAGCTTTACAGGTGTAACAGCCACTGTCAAATGGAGTGGGTTTCCGGATCTCCAGGGTCAACACACCCTGTTTACTGAACATGCGGTATTTGGCATCCCCGGAGAGATCCATTTTGTTTTTGTACCAGAATATCTTTGGCTGGAGAACAAAAAAAATAAATAATAAAAAAATATAATAAAAGGTGGAAATGGAAGACTTACTGCTGATCTTACAGCTTTAATTTAGCCATCAATGGTTTATGCATTATGAGGGCATATATTACACAGCAGTGTTAATTTTTCAAGCAACCTCTCCTCATTCAGTGCAAACTCATGAAACTAATAATACAAAGGTTAAGTATTTTCTTTAACTTTCAAATAGCATGTAGAGAATGTAGGTCTGTACCCCATTTTATTGGAAGTTTAAAAAAAACCTTACAAGCTGGCTACAAATTAATTCCTTTAGGAATTATTTAATTGTTCTTAATTAAATATCTTTGAATGCCTCAATTATCTTACAGAAGGGGAATTAAACTGCAGAGATTATCAGAGCAGAAGTGTCATAAGGTCTGTGAATACTGTGTGGCCATATTGGGTTGCTGTCACTGTTTGACTCAGGTCAAACTAGGACAAATGCCAAGGGTTTAGACTGGGAAAGGGTTTTCCAAACCATTTAGTATATCTTTATTTTTAAATTTGTGGAGTTGCTAAAGTTCCTGTTGGCTTCAGCTGAGCCATAAAGTGGTTGGCTCTGTACCAATTCAAGCCATTTTGTTTTGTTTCTGGTACGTGAAAATGTGTCTTTAATTTTTATTCATGAATTTTGAAAAGGAAAATCTTGATAGAAAGCAAACTGCTTTTGTTTATTCAAGCTCATATAGTGAAGAAATAGGTTTAAAAGAGTAGAAATCCAAGCTCAGCATTCATCTGCTTTACTTTCAGAACTAACATCTTCTGTTTCTTCACTCATAAAAAACCCCAAAACTACTGTACTGTTTTAGAGTGCATTCAAATCCATTGAAACTCTTATGTCTTTGACCTGTGATATGCAATTCCATGCATCTCAGTTGCCATGCTTACTTTTCTTTAAATATATCAACCGGATTTTTTCCTGCCTCAACACGTTTTGCTGCTTTTCTATAACCTCTTTATCTTTCTGGGTATGTGTCTTTTCTTTTTTTTTTTTTTTTTTTTTTCTTCCTTTTTTTTTTTTTTTTTTTTTTCTTCCTTTTTTTTTTTTTTTTTTTTTCTTTTTTTTTCAACACTGCTGCCAGGGAATGAATATTGGCTGTACTTGAAGTGGTAACTTTTTCATGCCATACAGATCATGCTGGTGGCTCATGTCAAGCTTCTCATCTACCACCACCCCCAGGTCCTTCTCCTCAGGGCTGCCTTATGTTTGCATATTATGTTTGATAATCTATAGTTATTCTGAATTTCAGCAGCTCTGTCAACATAAGCTACTCTCTGTGAAAAGGATCCATTGCGGAGTTCTGCGCTGGGTACAGAAACTTCTTGTTAAGGTTAATTTGGGCAATTCAAGTACAGAATGTATTTGGAAAAGCTGCTTTAAGAGTGTTAGGTGTACTGAAGAATTTTTTGTAGCCTTCAGTCTGATGTGGAAGGAAGAGTTAGCATGCTCACATTCAAAAGCCTGTGGCTACTGTATTTAACAGCTATAAAATGCAACGTTTTACTTAGAATCTTCTTAAAACCATGGAAGCTGAATGAAGTGGATACAGATGCACAAAAAGGCCAGTTCACCAGGAGGGAATATCATCACTAAGACTGATTTCATGATGAATCTAAGTTGAAGTGCATACTGAAGGTGCTGGTATTTCTTCTATCATATTCTTACTCTTTTGCAGATATTTATGTGGGTATGGTTCCTTTTTATCTTTTACTTTTGTCTGGAGTTTGACCAATGAACTGCAGCAAATTATTGCATTAAGACTGTCTTTATTTCTTTGAACTCTGAGCAATTATCTTACATGTTTTGCTGTGTAGTTATCAGATCCTTGTACAGGCATGAGGAAGGGAGAGGAGCTGGAAATAAGCATCCAAAAGGGGAAGGATGAAGGGTAATGCATTTTTTGTCATTGTACTTATTTAAAGTTATGACAAGATTATGTCATAATATGGTAAATTCCTTCACTGCAGACAAGAACTCTATTTCCCTTTTTTTGAGAAACCTAAATTTAGCTCCTAGCTGTTACAGGTTTACTGCTTGTTTCTTACCAAAAAAAGTACATATTTTTGTACTCCTTGAAGAGGCTTCAACAAATATATTTAACTGAGAAAATATTCCTGTGACATAAAAAAAAACCAAAAAACCCACAAAACTTCACACATGAGAGCAGGTCTTATTCTAGTTAATTTTGCAAGATAGCTTAGACTCTCAATAAATCATGTGGATGAACATGTGGACATAACAGAAAAACTGGTGTTCCTACAAATCATTAAGGTTAATGGAACAATATATTACATTGGCTGCTGTTTTCTTGAAAGACTGAAGAGAACAAAGTATAAGCTGTGAGAATACACTTAGTTGTTGTTGTTATTTACCTTCTTCAGAGAGTAGATTTTATGTACACTTAATACCTTTCCAGTGGTATGGTGTTACCATAAGCAATGAGTGTCCTTTCCTCTGTTTTACTGTGTTGCCCCACTGGTTCTGTGCACAACCACACAAATGTTTGCACCAGGCATTCTGGTTAAGCACCAGTTATGGTGGGAAGTAATTGGGTGACCTTTTTTCTTAATATAGTGGTGGTGTACTCCTGTCAGACTGAACTGGCATGAATTCTAAGGCAGCATCTTGGCTTGTGACAGTATCAATGACAGTTGGAGTAAACTGTACCTTGGGGATTCCTCTTACAGCACAGCTGAGGGTGGCGTTGTATCCTGCAATCACAGAACGATTTACTAAAGGATGAGTGAATTTAGGAGGTTCAGAGAAGTCATGTTCTTTGTAACTAGGTGGCTTATAAGTGGAGCCTGCAATTCAAAGAAACAAAAGAGTAAAAACTCTGTTTTAAATTCTGTTGACTTGTGTACAATTTATTTGTCAATTTGCCCATATGACTTGGAGAAGCTTCAAAGCTATGGCATGTACAACAAATCTTTAAATTCACTCTAAAAACACACCTCATGTTTAATGCTTTAGTTAAAGTAGAATGTCCTGGTAATCATGGGTTTTCAGCTTCTGTTAAAAATACGAAAGCCACATGTCTGCAGGGGAAGGCTTCACCACAGACAGCTTAAACTTTTAACCCCCAGAATATAAATATCACACCCCTCCAGTTGTATTATTTTCTTAATATAGTTTAGGAAGACTGTGTGATTAAATATTTTAAACAGATATTTGTGTTAGTACAGGAGATCTGTCTGGATGAGGACTCTGGATGTTAAAATACTTTCTAAGTGCTAGTTAATAAGTGATGATAGTATCTCTAGCAGTGCATTTAGTAACATTGTATTTTCCATTTACCAGTGTGTTACTTCTATACTTAGTGGCTTTCGTGATCTTTGTTTTGAAGAATATGTTACCTGTTTTTTGGATGTAGGCAGGATTTTTGGTGGTTGCAGCAGTTTCACTCAATCCACACAAATTTTCACTGAAGATTCGAAAAAAATACTCATTTCCCATAATCAGGTCTGACACTACACAGTTTGTGCGACGATAGTGATCAAAAACAGTATACCATTCCTGTAACAAGACTATACTGTTTAGAAATATGCTATGAGAAGTCAGACATGGTGCTAGTTTTGATATGGAGAGATCCTTCTGGCTACAAGGAAAAGACAGGTAGACAGGTATTTAACACTAGCCTGTGAAATGAGTATTTTGTTGCTTCCTGTTAAGATCAGCTGATCTGTTTTAGTTTATTTTCTGCCTGGTTGGATAGGTGTATGAATACCTGCATTTTGGGGGAAAAAAACCAAACACCTCTGTATGTTTTTGCCCTATGGATATCTTGGGAACCTAATGGAGGATGTGTCCTCAGAACTTTACTTGACAGGGGCTTCCATGAGAAAGATGTTTTCCAGTTTGACTTGCACACATACTTCTCCCAGAGTATACTGTACTACACCCAGCATCTGTGTTCAAGTTCAACTCGTTCTCTCTCCCCATAATTTTTACCTTTCATTTATGAAAAAAATATAACTAAAAATAAAAAATACAGTTCCACCTTCTGAGTACTGCTATCTGTCCAGTCACCACCAGAGATGGGACAGGCTAGATCTCTCTTTTTATATCTTCTACAGGACATTTTATACAGTTCTATACATAGTCTTTTGGGATTTTTTAGGTGCTATTCTTCAGTGTTTAACTCCCTCTGATAAGCCACAGGACAACTTGGACACACAACTGATTGTCATTAATTCAGCTGTTTCCCTGCAGTTTCTATGTTCCAGAGCAGATAGTCATTCAAGCTCCAAGCAAAGTCACTGACTCAGTGCAGTTTCTTACCATTGTCTTTTTGTCGGCTTTCTGGACTGTGTAGCCCAAGATCTGTGCATTGCCATCATCTTGTGGAGGTGTCCACTCCAGGGCTGCATTAAATCCCCAAACATCTACAAGCTTTACATTCTGAGGAGGACCAGGCTTGTCTGCAGAGGAGACATGAAAAAAACCTTCATTTTTGTTTCAAGATCTAAAAGCTTTGTCATTTTCTCCCATACAGTGAACAAAATAGAACTTAATATATGAAGTTGAAACTGTAAACTGGAAAGTTGGGAAATTTTCAAATAACATCGTGATATCCTTCTGAGAGGCCTGAAACCTACTGAGAAATGGTCAGCACAGTAGAATTAGCAACATACAAACCAGACAAACTCTTGCCTAAAAAGGAATACAAAGTTTGTGTTACTTGGGTGGGTATTCTTAACTCTTTTACTACAGTTTTATTACTTGCTTTGTTACCTCATTGACATTTCTCAGCTATTGAGACTAATATAAACAACAAAGGAAATTAGGTGTATATTCCTCTCAGCTAAGGAGAGCCATCCATTTGGGAATATATCTGTTGTCTCAGTGCTTGTCAGCTTGCCCACTAGTGACATTTCTCTGTAATAACTAGAACTCTCAGAGAGATACCATAGTCTATGTCCATTTTAAGATACCTGGATATGTATATATAGGAATATAGATATATTAATATCTTTATTAATAGATAAATTCAATTTAATAATTTTCAGTTTTCCTCCTTTTAACGATCATTTGTATTCATACCAACGTTGTTTAGTCAAATGATGTAATATTCAGTTTAGATTTGTGAAGTAATTTTCCTGACAGTTTGATCTTGAAGATTCTAGTTCCTCTTTTTGGCATGTGAGATTGCTGCTTACAGTTTCGGGGCCTATGGGGAATTGATCATTTGGTCTGGGTAGATGGTCTTGTGATTAAGAGAAGGATAGTTTGAGACATAAGTAGACATTTGCCAAGGGAAGGTGGCTGATGCACCTCAAAAAGATCACTGATTGACTATATCTCTGAAAACTGGGCTGGCTTGTCAGCATACACTTCTCCAGCACCTAAATCATTATTAGCAGTACAGAAGGAGTACCTGAATTACCCATACTTCTCTCCTTCCAGGAAAACACAATCTGGAGAGCAAAAAAGTGCTGTTGACAGAATTGAAGAGGTTCTGATGAAAAACTGAGTTAAGAATCAGAATAGATGGCTTGATTGCAGAAGTATCTGTATATGCTACAAGCCCCTTCCCTTGGCCAGGAATGAAATGAATTCTGTTTATTCTTTCAGCTGAGGTCTCCAACTAGAATCTGTGCTCCTGATCACAACCCTCTGAACTTTGCCATTCAGCCAGTTCTCTGTCACCAGGGAATCCTCCTCATTCAGAAGAAGGCCCACATTTTCCCTAGTCTTCCTTTTGTGATAGATGTACTTGAAGAAGTCCTTCTTGCTGTTCTTGACACCCCTTTCCAGCTTTAATTCCATGTGGGCTTTAGCCTTCCTCATTGCCTCCCTGCATACCCTCACAACATCCCTATATTCCTCCCATGAGGCCATGCCCTTTTTTCACATTCTGTAAACTTTCTTCCTCCATTTGAGTTTTTCTAGAAGCTCCTTGCTCATCCATGCAGGTCTCCTACCTCTTGCTTGATTACTCATAAGGATGCACTGATCTTGAGCTTGGAGGAAGTTGTGTTTGCATATTAACCAGCTCTTTTGGCTCGCCCCTATCTTCTACAGCCCTAACCCATGGGACTACTCCAAGCTGGTCCTTGAAGAGGCCAAATTTAGCTCTCCTGAGTGCAGGGATGCAATTCTACTTATTGCCCTGCTTCTTCCATGCAGGAACCTGCGCTCCACCATCTCTTGGTCACTGCAGCCAAGGCTGCCCCCAGCTTTCATATCCCCAACCAGTCCTTCTTTGTTAGTACAAGGTCCATCAGCACACCTCTCCTCATTGGCTGTCAAGAAGTTACCATCAATACTCTTCAGAAACCTCCTGGACTGTGTGCCTGGCTCTGTTGCCTTTTCAACAGATATCAGGGTGATTGAAGTCTCCCATGGCAAACAGTGCCTGTCTGTAAAAGGGCCTGACTTCCTGATCAGGTGGCCATCAGCAAACACCCACAAGTGTCACCCATATTAGCATATCTCTTAATTTTTACCTATAAGCTCTCAACTGGTTTTTCATCTGTCCCCAGGCAGAGCTCAGTATCTCCCAGTTGCTCTCTTACTTAAAGAGCAACTCTACCTCCTTGACTTGCTGGCCTGTCCTTCCTAAAAAGTACCTAGCCATCCATGGCAGTGTTCCAGTCATTCAAGCTATCCCACCACATCTCTGTAATTGCAATGAGATTGTGGCCCTGCAACTGCACACAGATTCCTGGTTCTTCCTGTTCATTCGCTGCACAGCCATTTATTTCAGTGAGGTAATGCAAGTTTCCCCAAATGGGGGACAAGAAGTTCCACTGTAGCCATATACACCCTTGAGGTTTTTTGCCTCCTGGTTCTCCTATTGGGAGGCAGCTAAAGAACATTTGGTGCTGCTCTGATTGGCCTGGCTTATTCCCCAGGTGGGTGTAATAGCATGAGCATTACTATTTCAGACCCCATCCCCTGAGACCTTCAGTTTAAAGCCTGCCCCACAATTAATTTTAAATGAGACTAGAAAAGAGATTAGAAATTGTATAATAGAGAATAAGCCTCCACTAAGTCTCAAACTAACCAGACACTCTTAATAGAGTGAGACATTAAATGTGTCTCGTAATTTCTAATTCTCAAATAGTAGAGGCATATTAGTGCAATGATTTTTCTTCACTGTCCTTATCTGCTGAAGAAACCCAGTAAGAGTATATCCATTCTAGGGTTCTGATTTCCTTCCTTGAGGACAATAAGGCTATTCTTAAGAACACCAGAACTCTCAATTATTATTTTTTTTCTGTCATTCTCAAAGAGGTAGCAAGGTGATAAAGATGATCAAAGATATGGAATGACATCTTTTGGAAAATAAACAAGTCCAAAACTTCAGAAAGTTAACTGAGGAGAGTGTGACTAAAGCCTATAAAATCATGATCAGCACGGAAAAGGTGAAGAAATGATTATTCATATTCTTTCTGGTACAAAGTTATGTAGACGTCAAATGACATTATGAGGACAGAGACTCAAAACAAGCCAAATACACAGTTGTACATACACATAAGCCAAAAGGCCTTGCAAAAGGACATTTAGACTCTGAAACTAGGTCTGGATTAAAAAATTGACTGGATAAAGTAATGCTAGAGAAAATCCCTCAAGAATCATGGGGCACACAGATAATCCCTCTCCCTCCAAATGTCTGTAGGACAGATCTTTTCAAGGTAGGAAAATATACTAAGAAAACAAAGTGACATGTTAGCCCTGCTCTGAGCCTTGTCCTAGTCATCTGCCACCAACCATTTTCAGAGAAAGGATTCAGAGGTAGTTGGATCTTCAGATCTCAGTGTTTCCACAATTTTGGTTTGTATGATATGTTTTATTTGGATGATATCAGGTTCTTACCTATGATTTGGATTGTTATTGCAACTTTATCAGTCATGTTTTCTATCTGAAGAGTGATTTCATATGCTCCTGAGTGATGAAGCTCTGCCTTTCTGATAAAAAGGATTGTGTCCGTGTTGCTGTTCCGAATTCCCACATCTTTGGAATCCAGAGTTTGGCCATCTTTCATCCATATGATTTTGGGTCTTGGTTTACCCTGAAGAGGAAAAAAAGGATTTATTTATTTATTAGGCTATAAAAGGTTTCCATTTTTGTTTTCCTGTTTTTTAGTGATCTGTAAATCTAGAAAGTCTAATTTAATATACAGGGTTGAGATGGTAAACTGTTTGCGTACTTTCCAATTTCTGTTTTCTTGCAGACATGAATTTGCTTCCATCTCTGTGGTTCAGTGGTATCAGGTCTTGAGGATGCCATTTGGTTATAGTTACAGAAGAGAATGAAATTATACTGAGAACACATCCGGAAGAAATATACTTATGGTGGTCTGATACTCTTTTCCAGGCATCTGTGCAGCCAACAGTTGATCTGGCTCAGTCTGATTGTTATCAAGTAACAGAAGTCTTTAATATCTGAGGAATTTGTTGGCTATTAGAGGAAGACATGGCTTCCCTTCTTTAGCTGGAAGGCATGGTAGGGGTTTGTGAATAAGTAGAAGGATGCATTGTTGTGTTGTGGTGTTTGGGTTTGTTTGTTTGGTTGGTTTGATTTGTTGCTGTTGTTGTCACTTTTGTGCTTGTGTTTTTGTTGGTGTTGTTCTTTGTTTGGATTTTTTTTGTTCTATATCAGGGTCTGATTTTTGGTGAACTTGACAAGAACTGACTGTCTTTTACTGTCCACATATGCATATATTTTTAAGTGATATGAGGATTCTGCTTGAAAACTTTGGCTAAGGGAATGCTTTCCAAATAAAACCAATCTACTTAAAATGGTATAATTATATGGAAATTTTATTTACACTTCTAATCTGTCAAGACAAATACTTGGCTAGGTTTTCAGACAATGTGTAATAGTTTTTAATGAATGAATAATGAGGTGAGTCAAGGATCTGGCCCTAAATATCTTGACAAAAAATGGGCATGAGAACTGATACCATTATCTTTATCATAAGAAGTATCCTGACTCAAGCTTTGCTGCTGCTGGTGTTCTAGACTGGTTGTTCAGATATGTTCACTCACAGCACCTCCTTTTTTGAGTGCCAGTGAGAGGCTGCAAGTGTTCAATGTGTTGGTTATCATATACTCTTATATTTATAGACTGTGAAAAGCATAAACACATAGAAAGCATGTTCCTAATACCTACCTCAGAGGATAGGATTTCTGCAATGTGTAATAGGTAATCTGAGAGAGAACAGTGAGTAACAAAGAGGATAAGTAGCACACCAGATAAACTACAGGGAGTTTACTGCCAGGGAAGAATGAATTTAAATGCTTTTAGATGTTTATATACACACATATGATGGGCAAGAAGACTGCTCAGTAATACTGTGAATTTTATCCACTAATAACACATAATATCCCTTCAATCATGTGCCCATGTAGTTAATTTTGAAACAAGACTGTGTTAATTCCCTTCCTTTCCCACCTGCTTACTGCACTCAACAGAAAAATGGTTAGTAATAATTTGATACTTGTCCTTTTCTTACATTTTCATCTAAAGATTTAAATAGATTTGCAAGTAGCCTTTAGCCTAGAATACCTTGACACGGTATTTAATAGAAATTCAGTATTAAATGATACAGCAGTGACCACAGAGGTCACTGGCATGGTTGCACAGAAACTGTAAAGGGTTGAAGACACTGACTTACAGTTTAGTTAGATAATCTTCCTGTTCTCCCTAGCTCAGAGTTCACAGTAATTCCAGTGTTTATATACTTTCTCCTGTTTTCTTTTTGTAATCTGAAGATTGCAATAATATCTGGTTAGAGTATTCTTCTTGAGTAAATTGAATAGAAATGGTCAGTGATCTAAAGTTTTTCAAAATGTAAAGTGAAATGTTCTTTCTACTTTGCTGTTTTTGAAAGATCCTCAGTTTTGCTTATTCTAAATAGTTTTTGCAGTATTGAGAATTGTAGCTATAGCTAGACAGTGCACTAGAAATCTAAGATCAGCTTAGTACATTTGTGAAAACTGATGACAGGGTGAAATAACAAAACCTCAGTTAGTGTGCCCACTGAGGAAAAGTCAGTGAAGATTTGGTCTTTATCCATTTTGTTTGGCAACAGCTGAATGATCAGACATGATAAGTAAAGCTCTGGATTAGTTGTTACATGTACTTTTTCTGGTCCGGGGAACTGAGGACATGTCAGCTAAGGACTACCTAGGGGGTAAAGAACTGGCAGATCTCTGAGACTATTGCAATGAGGCTGCTCTAAGCAGAAGAGCTGGGTTATTATGCTGCACAGATGGTGATACAGGGGACATAAGACACAGATCTATAAACCCCCAAACTTTAGCAGTTCCTCTGCTTATGAGACAGCTTGTCAATTTTGTGCAAATTTACTTCAGCTTAGCAAAGCAGCAAAAATATCTGTTTGTTTAATTCAAGTTTTTTTTAAGGCTTACATAACTTGGATGTAAAAATCTTGCATTTTGCATGTGCCTAGACCTCAGCGAAGGGGCCAGTTTAACAATTTTGGAGATAAGAAATGTGAAAGAAAAAATAAGCCTATAGTTATGTCAAAGTAGTGCATGTATGCAACTTAAGTTACTCCATGTATTGTTTTGCAACTGTTTACTGATGAGATATATCTTTGTGAAAAAACAACTTTTCATGTAACCCACTAACCACGGGGCAAAAGGCACATTGTATTTTATTTTACATAGATTTTGCTTCTATATAGATTATTTTTTTTGCTCGCTTGTACTGCTCAAACGAAAGAATATAGGTAAAGCATGCATATGTGTCTCCCTTGCTTTTGCATTTCTCCAGCATGAGAATAATTTACACGAGGATTTCAAAACTTGTCACTAACAACAGTGCTTACATTTTCATAAATGTCGAACCTGGACAGCAGAGAAATTTTAAGTTTCTTCAAATTATAAATGAGAACTAGATTGAACAGTATATCTAGCATCACTGAGGATGTTTCTGTGAGAGGCAGAATCTGCAATTTGCAATTTCTTTTCCTATGTGTCACTCAGAAAACCTTCTTGCACTGTGTTGATATAGCCCTGCAAAAAATGCAGTAGTTATTCTAGCTGCTCATAAAGCTGTAGAGTATGCAAAAACACTGTAACTGGTTAGGTCAATCTGTGTGTATATTTTAATAATTTTCTGCATGCCATAGTGGCTGGCTGTGTTTTTTTACACCTTGAGATCCTGTACAGTAATACCCAAGCTGCTAGTTGTAAACACAGAGATTCTATATAGGGCCAACTGTGATACTCTTTTTATGTACTAACTCTGATTTTTGTAGTCAGCCTTTCAGAAAGGAACATACACACTTCTGGCAAAGAATTTGCCCATCATGTACCTTGCCTTCAGAAGAGTAGTTAATTGAATTCTTATGCTTTTGTATGCTTCTCTCTTTTAAGATTAATTCTGTGATCAATAAGCAAGAATTGGCTTGCAGTTACATTTTCTTCTTCCCAAAAGAAAGGCTTATGGAAGAAACTGTGACTTGAAAAAAAAAATTTGTGACTGAAAAAAGAGTGATATTCCTCCTCAGCCCTCCTTTCTCTCATGTTTGAGAGAGATTATTTTAAACCAGCAGCCATATTTTATGTAATACTGCTTAAGCAGTGAAGCAATGGGAACTTGCACAAGGGAAGCTACTTTAGGTAAGTATTAATAAATAGCCATGACAAAATATAAAATGATAAATACCTGAAAAGGGATCACAATATTGATGGTCTCACCCACTTTCTTCACCAGAGTCTGTCTGAGGTGGCGTGGCAACCAGATTTTCGGACGCTCTGCAGTGAAGCATTAATATATGAAATACAATGTTTATTATAATTTGACATGTTACTTATAGGACAAATAAGACAGAACACCAAAGAAGAGAGAGAGGCTTGGATACTTGTAAACATAATTAAATTGTGCAAACGCTGTTTGTACGGCTAGGGAGTAGTTAATTCTGTAAGTACTTTCAAGTCTATTTGACTAATAGATACAAATTTAGTAGCAAATCTCAGTTATGTATTTACAACAGAGCAGGTTTCAATGACAGCAGTATTTGTGAAACTGTCACCTCTGAAATGCTGGCTTTGGGTGACTTATGTGTGAACCCTCTATGTGAACTTTTTTTCTTTGGAGAACTATCAGGTCAATAGAATGGATGGGACAAAGGGTTAACTAGGGTTAAAGAGTGACTATAGAGTATGATTAATCTATTGCTATATTGATGCTTCATCTCCTTGTAAATTGCCTTTTGGAGATATTTATGGACTTACTCAGGAAGCAGAATAATCAATTGATTTCCTTTATCTTTCTACAGTCTTCCAGTTATTTCTCTGAGATGGAAGGAGTGAAGTCTCATTGTAGCAGCTTACTTTTCACTAGCAAAAAGAGGGCCATGGTGCATGTTTTTTCATCTTGTCCCTGCTTTCCTCTACCTCACTGGGAAGCCTTTTATGTTCTCCGTGTGTTCCCTATTCTTTTACTAGTCATTTACAGAAAGAATTTCTTAACATACAGTTGGAGTATCTATCTTCATGTCCATTGGTTTTGAGATGCATTACAACTTCATTTCATTTACACTCATTTTACTGTTAGTGAGACTCTGGCAGACACTTCACGTGAGTCAAGGTTGAGGAATCCACTATTAGCAGCTCTTGATATTTTTTGGACTCCAGTCAAATTAAGTATAATCTACTGCTGTTGAGTGATACACAGGGTATTAACTAATAACATACAACAATCAAGTACAGATAACTGCTTTTATTTAAATAGATCTCTTGCTAGAGCCAACATGGTAATTTTTGCAGTAATATAACAGCTTTTCCAGCAGAATGCTAAATAGTATAAAATGTCTCTTAAATTCTGACAATGCCATTGGAAGGGGTGAGATGTGCATATTTTTAAAGTAAGAAGTAGGATTTTGTTTTAAGAGCTATGCTTTAGAAATATAGGATCTGGACAGTGTAAGTAATGTTCTTATCAGAAGATCCTGGGTACCTAGTCAAACTGAAAGAGTTGTCTGCATATTATTCTCAGAAGACGGCACAGGCTTATCAATCCCAGGGTTTTTTCTACATGTGTACATAATTAGAATTTTGAGCAGAGGAAAGAAATAATAAGATTTATACTGTCTAGATACTCACGCAGGATCTCTTGAACAGTAACGGGCTCTTTGATTATCGCTGCCCCACTCTCACCAGCCAAGTTTATAGCCTTTATACGGAAATGTAGTTTGTCCCCTGTGACCAGGTCTTTAATCAGGGCAGATGTACGCTCAGTTAGGCCAGGAAGAGCTGGAATCCATTCTGTAGCTACAAATACATGATTTGCATATTGTAACAATATATTGTTTTTCCAAACTGATGCCTTGTCTATAATAGTGAACATAAATTTGTGTTAGGGTAAAATGAGTTTAACATGCAATACCACACTTAAAAGGGAATAAACTAAGATGGAAAAAGAACTCTGGATCTAGAAGATGTTTTTACACATGGAGTTGAGGAATGTGTATGTTTTATTTATTCAAAATAGCTAAAGGTAAGTGAATTAAGGATAGTTTCTTTGACATTCTGTTTTATAGACTTAGAGTTGTGGGACTTCTCTACGTTAATATTCATTAACAAGAGGGGAGCAGATAATTTTGGAAGTATTTTTAGTAAGAAAGTAAAGCCTTAATTTTTTTCCTTGGAATAAGTATATCTCCTGTGGGTGTCCAAATGGAATGGTGAGAGCCACATATGCTGAAAACAATAACAGATCACATAACTGTTGGAATTTATTATTAACTTCTCAATTGACACTGTAGAATATAATTCCTAGTGCTTCCTTAGTTATTCTAATGAGATAGAAATACAATTGATAAAATAATTAAAGGGATTCTGGTAATTCTATGATGATACCTCATTAGAGACTAAATTATTTAATGATATATTATATCCTGTAAAAAAAATAGTTTTAGGCTATGTGGTCATAGAGCTTAGTGTCAGAGAAAATTTAATTATAAAAGTAATAATAAATTTAGTTATTTTTATGACAAATGTTACAATGTAGTATCACAGCAAATTGAGTGTTGTAGATGTGGTGCAGGTATACTCTTTATTATCAGACCACAAGTAATAAATGAGAAAAGCTAACTTTTATTGGAAAGTTTGACTGATGTTGTTACAGTCATGTTGTTATACTGGTTTTAAGCAATATGCAATTTGTGAATGCTACAAAAGCATAGCAGTGACTACAGAACAGCACTGGCATTATCGTATTTTTCTGTATTCAAGTTTATGATTTGTGAAAAAGAGGTTTTGGTTGATGATTTTCATGGTTTTACAATCATGTTGTGGAACATCTAGTGATGGTTGGTAAGGATGTTAGTCATAGAGTTCAAATTTAATGATACTGAATAAGGTTAATTTATTGTGATATTGCAGTGAAGCAACTGTAGTGTTTTAATAATGTTCATTTTCAGCTGCATAGTACTTGTGCTTACTTACATCCATCTTTGCAGTATTCCACAATATAACCATCTAATCCCCCCGCTCCAATCCGTTCAGGGGGTCTCCACTTCAAGGTGACAGTGGTGTCAGAAACATCTTCCACGGTAAAGTGGGTTGGCTCACTTGGAGGAGCTATAAGGAAATATGCAGAAATAAATTCTAAGAAAGAATAGCGTAACTGTGAGAGCTCAAAGGTTAGAGAAGGAGTGATTAACAGCTGAATTATATACTGCTCTCTGTTTTAACAAAAGAAATTTAGCTGAAGTTCAGTGGTAAAATATAACACCTAATACTTCATTGAAGTACAGCGTAAGAATCCTGTAATGGGGGGGAACGAGAGGTTAAGGATAGTCATTACTATTCACATATGGTCTCTTATGAGTAAGACCCAATGAAAAAATACGAGTTGTAGAAGGGAATCAAATTGTCATCAGAAGTCTGCAGAAAAGTTTAGAAATAAAACTGTATAGAATTTTTATGCTGTATTTACAGCCTGACTGTAATTCGACAAAACTGACATAGTCAGAGGGTCAAATTAGTCAGTGGCTAAATTTGACTTCACTTGTTTTCCTCTAACAGTAGAGAAAATGATCAAAAGTTATGACTACATATTTACAGAAACACTTGTTCTGATTTGCTTATTTGTAATAGAGATATGCCTGAGAAAAGTATTCTGGAGCTGAAGAATTTTCACTTCAGTTGTATGTAGCTACTTCATATATTTTCAGAACATGAGCATCATAGCTCTTTTAAAATCTGTATTTCAGAAAGATTACTCACTAAATTGTCTTCTTAAGCATGACTGTTGTCAACTAATTAAAAGCAATCAAGAAAAGCCCTTACAGGAGAATCTCAAATGCACACAAATGCTACTGTGAAATAATTGATTCCAAAAAGCAAAGAGAAAGTTAACTTTTTCAAAATAACATTTAGAGTGCTGAAACATAAAACGTAGTACATATAGGATAAAGCAAATCATGTTATAGAAATGTTTGCCATAATGCCACACTATCATGTGTTTTGAATGTACATAAAAGATCTTACATATTAGAAATATTAAATATAGAAAGTAAGTTAAATACAGGTTTATAAATTGTGCAACTGATTGAAATTTATCTTAGTTCCTAAAATTATTGTAAACATAAAAAAGAAATATTAAAAAATCACCCAGCTTCCTTTCTGTAGCTGTGTCAAAAATTTTCATATTCAAATGGCTACAGGAACTGTGAACAGCACACAGGAGGCAAAGGCAGTTGGGAACATACACAACCACAAAGTACACAATCAAAACCCCAAACCTCTTCTCTGAAGCAGTAAATGTGAACTTTATCCTAATTCAAGTAAAACTCTGCCTATCCCATGAAAACTTTGGACCTTTTTTTTCAGTAGCTCCACTTGATAGTTTTTGTTTGCCCTCTTCTGTTGCAGACCAGACGTTGTGTGTTTGAAATCCAGAATTAAGAGACCCTTCTTGCAGTTCATCCTTTCCTTCTGACCCCTTCACTGCATCATCTGCTTTTGCACTATCTCCTTCAGCAGGCTTTCCCCCTTCATCGATATTTGTAGATTTAGCAACTCTAGTCATTCTAATCTCTAGCTATTTGTATTTTTGTAGGTCGTCTTTCTAAAGCTCTTAGCAAGCAGGCTTCCTGAGGACTCTTCCTTGCTCAGGGACCGCAGGAGACACTGCACTGCTGTGTTGGGAAGGATTATTTATAGAAAGTCATTCCTCAAATATTTTCTTAATCAGTTATCCTTTTAGCTGTGGAGAGGGCCGGGATTAAGAGAGTACTGGGTGGTATACTCTGATATTTGCACCCATAAAGGAATGGGAGAAGCTGAGAGGGCCAGGGAAATTTCTGTCAATTAGTTCTCCTTTCCAGATCCGACTAGACTCTCACACTTCTAATTATAACAACTAAAATTTCATCAGCAATTTCATGAAACTAGAACCTCTGTGCTTCTCAGGAAGAGGAATGAGAGCTAGAGAAGAGGAAGATGACAAAGGAAAAGGTTGATTTAATACAGAGATAGTTGATGACTTACTTCCTAACTTAGGTATAAGTGTAGTTGAAGAGGTGAAAATTATCCTGTCTTGGTTTTGCCCTAGAAATAATACAGAGTGTGGTAAAACTCACCAATTGGCATGAAGGGTTGCGAGGCAGGGCTTGGCCGGGACATGCCAATAGAATTCACAGCATAAATCCGCATCTCATAAACTACTCCTTCAATCATTCGCTTGGCTTCATAGGTTAGCTCTTTTAAAAGGTCAAAGTTCAGCCTCATCCATCGATAGCTCTTCTTCTTCTTTCTCTCTAAAATATAGCCTGGAAAGTATAGTTTTTGTGTAAAAGAACTTCAAATTATTCTCTTACATGCGGGAGAAAGGAAAAATCACTTTTTTGTTGTTTGTTTGAATTGCATAAAATAGCCAAATGTGATTCAGAATTAGTGCATTTAACTGAATTGTGTGAAGCTTTGGTGTTTTTCTGCAGTTTCCTTTTGTATTCCTTCTATCTGACATTCTCACCTGAATACTTATTTAGTTCTATGTAAAGAAGTTATTTAGAGTTTATATATATTATTTAGAGTTGTCTGTGTCTGCCATTAAACTTCAAGCACACTTCGCATGCTATACACTACTATTAAGGTATTTAATGTATGCGAAAAAGAGAGACTAGCAGAGCTGCTTTAAACATTAAATCCTTTCTGGTGAGAGTGCAATGATTCACTCCTAATGGCAGAGAAATGCATGAGGCAGAGCAGCTGGGCAGAAAGCTCTTTCATTGAAGGGAGAAATGGTCCTCAAATGTGTAAAATGAGACAAAATTAAAAAGTTAATTTCTTTCTTATATTCTGCTGCAATTCACTAATCTTGATTAAACAGCATAAATCCCAAAGCAAAAAAAATAGTTGACCAGTTTGTTCTTCCTGTTGTGTTTTTTGTTTATTGGGGGGGGGGAGGGGGTTTGTTTGCTTGTTCATTTTCCCAAATGATTTATCAAAGAACTTATGTTAGATTTCTGCATCCATTGCTGAGTGGTGTACTTGCAGAGTGCTTCCCAGACAGTGTAGATCCCAGTTCTGCTTCAGCCCTACAGAGGAGTGAGTCCTGGCCATGCACTTTTTTTCTTGCTCTGATTCATTTGGAAGGAAAAGGCAATACCTAACCATGGCAGCTAGAAGCACTGCAGGACAAATCTATAATATAGCTTAGATGTAGGCTGTATGCACATAATCCAGTTCTGTAGTACATATCCCTTGCCCATTGAACGTCCCTAGCCTTTCCCACACTACCATGCTGTACTTCAGAATGGGCTGGGCTATCAATTTGCAAGATAAACTTATTCTTTCCCAAGACTGGGAATGGAATCTGTGAATCTTGATCCATAATATGGAGGATGGTTTTATGTCACATTGGAAATGTTAGTATAAATTATTTTCCAGTGACCTGCTACAAAGCAGTTACAAACAGTTTCTTTCTATCTAGCCATATTAAAGTTCTGCTGTGTTGCAGATACTGTGCCTGGATGTGATGCATGTAGACAGATTTTGTTTTGAAAGCTATTAAACCTTTTGCTGTAGAGTGAATAATCAGAAGATACATTGAATAGTGACTTACTTGTACCAGGTATCTTTGTGTGTTGTAAGTCTGTTTCTACCCATAGTCTACAGCAAATATTTCTCTAGCAGTTGTCAGCTAACTGTTAAATGCTTTAAGCAATAGGGTTAAATACTGTAAGCAAAGAGCCTATGGTTCCTTTGACACATTCCTGCCTTATTTCACTCTTCATCAGGTTCTGCAAGAGTTAGACAAGTTTCAGCAATTTCAGTTTGTGTTGTTCTGCCATTTTTGATACTCATAGTTTCCTGTCGGAACTGAGACACTTTTTCACTGTTACATACCAGCACTGGTAAAAAAACAAAAGTAAAAAGGAGATAAAAAGACAATACTGGTATTATTGGTGATATTTGATAAAGCAGATTATTCCCCAAATGCATAGAATGTATGATAGATCAAGATAGTGCTGTAGTAATATAAAAAGCACATCAGACCTCATGAAAGGTTTGTGTAACTGTGAAGATGGGGTGTGAATTTCTTTTCTATATCTGTTGGATACAACTCATAAAGACTGCAGCCAACTGCCTACAACGCCATCTGTAACAATATGAAGACAGATGAGAATGCATATGTCTTTCCCCCCTGCCTTTTTAACTTGCTTTTAAAACTCTGAATCAATAGTGCTTCATCTTGGCTTTTTTTCTTTCTAGGTGTGTTATTCTATTAGCAGTACAGTCCTGTGCTAACTGAAGAAACTTCCTCATGTAGTGCAAAGGGTTGTTAGTGACATGTTAGGAAAATCAGTCCTTTGACAATGAAAGCAAATCAAAAAACTTTCAAAAAATATATGTCCTGGAAATTACAAAACCAAATAATGGGCTTTGCAGAGTCATGGCAGGAAAGTGTGGGGTGATGGGGGTGTTGTTATGGTAGCTGGACAGCTATTGGTAAATATCTTTGCATATAATAATTAAAATTGTTAACTTCTTGCTTTCTTCCTGTCTTCCTGTTAGAACAGGTGAAACCACAAAGTACTGGCCCAGTACTATCTTGTTTATTCCTGCACAGATAACTTCTGCTGAATTCAGTGAGGTTGCTTTATTCTTGTGGAAGTGAATTAAGTCCAAATATCTGAAAGCAAATACCAAACTCCTGTCTTCCAGTTGCTATGCAAGGAGTTAAAAGAATTTTGGAACATTCCTAGCCCTGCATCCTCATCAGAGTCCATATAGCTTTTGGCATACTTTTTTTGAAAACCAACTCAAACTCTGGTGATCTTTATTAAAGCAAATTGCTAAATTTGGAGTCCAGAGAAATTTCCCCTAAAAGTGGGCAAAACCCTGCTTTATTTTCTTTTCCTTCTGAGGATCTTAGGGAGTTTTATCTGAAAAACATCATGCTCTAGAGAGAACTTAAAACGGTATCAGTGCTCATTTCCTGTATTGCAGGACAACTTTGGCCTCTAGTTTTCAGTACAGATTTTAAGGTGATTAAAATGACTGAAAAGTGTTTTGTGTATCATGGTATGTGGCTGTATATGAAACAGATTTATGAAGTAGTTTTCTAAAAGGAACATGTATTGCATGAGTGCTTGAGAATGCTGATGACTGGAATTGATGGCTGAGGAATTTGGTTTTGGAATTTGGATGGTTTTGGAATTACTGTATAGGAAAGGCCTGTATACTGGCCTAAAATTTCATTTCTGAGTGAGAATGTTTAGCTGTAAGTATTTTTGGCTTCATCTTGTGCTTTGGTAAGGCATTGCTGAAAGATTTCTCTCATTCAAGTAGCACGGGCAGGGGGCACTCTCTCACTAAAATTGAAAGGCTAGAATCCAGACCAGTTTGAAGCTCTGCTATATTAGTTAGTTTCTGAAGGTCAGCCTTCCTAGAGTGAATCAACATAGAGGACCCTTCTGTGCTATTTTAAAAGAGCAGCAAATAATATAGCCAATGCTTTCTGTTTTAGCACTTCGTACCAAGTACTGGTTGACCACCGTCGTATTTAGGGGGTTGCCAGTGCACAGTACAGTAATCTTCTCCAATGTTGCTGATTGTGGGAGCTTCCGGAGGGTCAGGCACATCTGAGGAAAGTGTGAGACTGAATTAGAGTTGTTACTGCTTTAATTTCCATATACAGGTCAACTAAATATTTTTCTGTAAAGATTTTTCCCTCTGTTATTGGTACATTTTGTTAGATAGCAACAGTAGGTACAATTGAGAAGGTATTCTCTCAGTCCAAAGTGAATCCTACTCTTTGATGCTTCTACGCTAGGCTGGCTTTTCTATAATTAGCATTAATTATTCTTGTTCTTCCTGGGCATAATAATATGCAAATATGTAAAGTAACAAAGTGATTCTGTTCTGTAAGAAGAGATGCTCCAGGGTTTCCTTTTTTCAGATTTTGTTATTTTGGAGATATTTGTAGTAAATATCCTGAGTTGGTGTTTATAAAAGATTAAAAGAGATTTAATATTCACCTAAATAGTGAATTCTAAATTTTAATACTGTAGGTAAAAGTAATTTTCTTTTATCAAATCTGCCCAGGGAGGTGGTTGTGTCACCATCCCTGGATGTTGGGTCGTTTGGATGTAGTGTTGGTGGATATGGTTTAGGGGAGAATTTTGTAGAGTAGGGATAGTGGTTGGACTTGGTGATCCCAAGGGTCTTTTCCAACCTGAATAGTTCTATGATTCTATGTTTGTTTATAACCTGACCTTTAGTCATACCTGTGGAAGGATATAAACAAGTTAAATATTATGAAAAAAATTATAACAATTACTGACTCAAAATCATATTTCCCCTCAGCTCTTCTGTGACTCATAGTGCCAATCTGTTTATCTTATAACAGGTAGGTTATATCTCTTTATTCCATTAACTAGTTACTGCTTATAGAAGTAAGTGATCTTTGCTTAAAAACATAAACCCAAACAAAACAACAAGATTTTTTTTCTTATCTTGGGCAAGCATGAAGTATATACTTCAGAATGTCATATATAAAATTATACATTCACCTGAAACCGGAAATATACAAAAAGGAAATGTATGGATTTCTACTGAGGGTTGTTCTCTTACCTTTTCACACAGAAAGCAACTGAAAAATACTTCTGCCAAATTTTGTCACTAATAGTATTACTGCCTTTATGATCCTTTTCTGTTTTTCTAAACATAAAGTCAGAGTTTGTCTCCACTTTAGAGAAGGGTGAGTTTCAGTGAACTCAAGATACTCTCATGTTCTTGTTGTTTCCTTCCTTCACTTACCGATAACTTTGACTGTGATATCGGCCTTATCTTCTCCCACTGGATTCTTAACTGTAACTCTGTATACTCCCTCATCCTCCTTTTCTGCTCCTTCAATGATGAAAACACAGTGGTCTTCATGCTTCTCCACACGAACTCTGCCTTCAGATTCAAACAGAAGCTGTGGGCAGTGAAAGTGATGGGTATAGTAATTTTAAGTTGTGCCAGGGACAGTTTGATGAGCCTGTATGTAAGCTGGTGAAAATCTTCAAATCATTGAATACTCTAAAAGTTATTGAAAAGCTATAAAGTTTTTCAAATTCTATTTATATGTAGAAAAGATAAAATCTAGACTAAGTGGCTCACATAAATAACATTTGAGAAAATTGGTTCTGAAAGTCTGCAGGTTGTTAAGATTCATTGTTTGTTAAACATAGCCAGTTACATTTCAAAGAAGTTACTCAGTACTTCCATAAATTCCTACTTGGGATAGCTGCTAGTGTCAATGTAAAGAGTTTCATGGATAATAGTCAGATAGTGTGTAAATTCAAGGTGGTTTGCTAATTCAAATGGTTGAGCAGACATTCCAGGTCAACAGTATCTACATTTAGCATCAAATAATGTGGGTTTGAAAATTTTCTTTAAAAAAAAAAGTACCATGTTTCTTGTAACTGTTAATGACATCAGTGTGATTTCTGTCACTTCAGAATGTCAGATGAGGTAATTTTCTGTGTTTCTCTGAGCTGAAGTCTAAACAGAATGACCACCCATTTTTTTGGCTTTGAACAAGAACCATTAGAAAGCATAGGTGCTTGAATAGCGACTAGTACAACAGAATCCTAACCCTGAGAAAGGCTTATTGTTGCATAAGTGTAAAATATTTTTTACTCTATCAAATAGTTATTCATGACAAAAAGGAAACTTACTGGAAAATGAATCCTGTTTCACTGTTTTGTACATACATAGTCCAGTGTCTTAACCCATTGTCATCCCTCCCTGTGTCCTGTAAGATTTTATCCTAGGGTTTTTTCCCCCCTCTAGTTATTATTGAAGCTTACAGGTTAATGGGCAAAAAAAAAGGGATGTACATTCACAAATATATTAAAAGGAGTTTTCAACTGCTTTGATTCCTTGTAATCCGTCCATCATGTGATGATAATTAGAGATTTCCTCCATCAGCATCTTGCTCTAAAATTACTCACAAGATCTCTTGTGCGTTTTCAAAGTGTTTGTAATTACCATTTTGAGGCAGAATGTTGAGTGTGCTTTTTGTTTCACCAGTTCTAATATTGACTCGCTTTATATTATTTCCTTCTGAATATGTCCTTTTATCTGGAAACCATTAAGTATATTTGTGTCTCTGCATAAGTAAAAAGGAACCTACCTTACTATCAGTATTTAAATCATTGCCATTTTCTGCAGGAGTCGTGGAATCATCATTGCTTCGAACAAGGTCACTTTTCTAGACAAGCAAAGAAACCACAGAAAGTCAGCTAAGCCTTCTGAGCAGAGCAGTTCATCTGTTTCTGCAAGATTCAGGAGAAGAGTCCATAGGTTTGTTTTGGGTGTTGAATATAGAGGTGTGAGCAAAGTGAGGCAGCAAGCAGAACTGAGGAGGGAATAAACAGATAAAAAAGTAAAAAGCAGAAATAGAAATACTACTGCAATGAGTTAAGGGTAAGTCAGCAAAACCAAACTGACAGCTTAACAAAGATGCATGATGTGTCTGCAGTAGAATGGTAACTGGCTGAGAATCCATGTTGTGTGGTAGGTACTATTACTCATCCTGTTTACAAAAATAAGGATTACTTCTTTCTATAACAATGGGATAGTCAGCCAGGGTAAATGTTTTAAGGCTCAGAAATAGTTAGGTGTGTAACACATCATACAGTGTATCCTGAAGCTGTGCTACTGTTTGGGGTTTCATTAGCAAGTGTATGTTACACATTCTTCAAATCAAGACCTGCTTCTTTTACTCATATGTTGAAACCTCATGCCTTAGAAATAATGCTGTTTAATGGCTCTCCAATACCCACTCATCATTTTATCAGAGAAACTTATGTATGACAGAGTTAATTTATCTTCATTGCCAAAAAAGAGGCAAATGGCTTTTTGCTTCCATACTAATTCTGCACTACAGAAAAAGTCCTAAGTGTTACTAAAGACGCTAATCTGAAGAAAAACTATGGCAGAATCATGAAGAAATTAGATTGGGGTGATTAATATAATTTTCAATGTTATTTTTGTCTATATCTACACATAGGGGAAGTGTAATGACACTGTAGAAATAATTTCTGTGTTTTGTGCTAGTTATAGCTCAAGAGCCTGCAGATGGTGAGGAGTGGGATGTTGTGATACAGCCAGGAAGGAAGCTCACTTAACATTTTCTGTCTAGCTTCTAAATTATTTCTTTGATGTTTTGTAATTGATTTGTTGAGGCAAATAGCAAGTGTCCTCTATTTTCCTAATTGTAAATACAGTTGTATCCCAGTGGTCTGCAAAGAAGACTTTTTTTTCACAGACTGTAGAATTCTGGAGAAAGATTAAAAAGAGAAGCCACCATCTCCAGAACGTGTCCATCCTGTCAGGTGAAGGTGATGGGGATGACTCATCCTTTATTTATTTTTCTCTGAGGTAGGAAAAGAATAAATATGTATGTTGTCCTACCGTCTGCATGTACATATAACTACTCAGATATACTCAGTCCATTCTTTTGGAATAGAAAAGCAGGCAACAGTTCAGAAAAAGTACAGTTCAGGATGAGTCTTACAAAACCAGCTAAATTCCAAAAAGCTACATTGCAGATATTTTTTTTTCAGGTTAAAATAAATAAATAAATAAATGAAAAGATTCAAATACTTGTAACTAAAAAAAAATTTAAAAAAACAACAACTGAATTTCCTATTGTGACTTCTTTGCCTCAGACATTATGTCAATTTGCACATTACCTTGTTTACTTTTTGCCAGATGACAGTGGGTGTTGGGTCTCCTGATATGGGAACATCCAATCTCAATTTGTTCCCAGCCACCACGACAATAGTGTCAGGGGACTGGCCCAGACAGTCAAGGTGGATTTTGGGAGGTTCTATAGCAAAGGCAGAGAAAATAAGTTTAAAAATAGTTTAAGTGTTATGTATAGAAAAAACAAAGTGAATATGTTATAAATTAAAAATGAAAAAACATGACTTCCTTTGCTATTGAAAATGTATTTACTTACGTATAAATAATGACTGCTGTTCTTACCTTCTCTTGGTACAAAATCAATCTTGACCTCTGGGGAAAAGGAGGGGGGGAGGAAGAGTAGGAGAAGTAAATCAGAAAATAGAATTTACATAGCATCTGCCCTCAAAAAGTAGTTTTAAAACCATTCACCAGTAGAACCTCATAAGGGATATGCATCAACAGATTAATGCAATAAAATGGAAAACAGGCTTTGTAAATAATGCGATAATGACAACACAAAATAATAAGAAAAAGCAACATTGAGGCATAAGGAAAGAGATTCTGCCTGCTCTTTCCTGGTATAACCCTAATAATGACATCATTTTATCCCTCTGGAATTCCCATTTCATATTGTAAGATAACTTACCCAAAAACTGAAGCTTGGCAGAAAGGTTGTAAGCAAATCCCTGGGGGATAAAGGAATAATCGGCCTCATCATCTGGTGTTACATCCTCAATCGTTAGCTTATGGATTCTGGAAATATGAATAAATACATTGCACTCTCTTACCTCTTCAGGAGAAACAGGGCTGTCTCAAGGGACAAGGTGCAGGCTATAGGATATTAACAAACAACACTACTTCTTCATCCCTTGCCCTAATACCAAGTCAACAACCACCAGGGCTGTAGACTGCTCAACTTTCAGTATTCAAGAAAATCCATGCTAGCATGTTGTCTATGAGTAGATTTTTCTGGTCAAGTTAGATGCATAGTCTAGTCTGAAAAGGAAGCAGTTTCTCGGCTTTAGTCCTGTCCTGCACTGTTACAAGGGCAGTTGTAACACTGCTGACAGGTTTCATTTGGTCAGGTTATGTCTATAATAAATTCTGGAAAAAACAAGATAAAAAATGATGCTACATCCCTGTATTATTCTAAATGCAAAACTGAATACAGAGAGGAAGTACCAAGGAGGAATTTTTCATAATGTAATGCTTATGTATCTTCTGAATCTTCTTTGTCTCCATTTCCAGTGGTTAAACTGCTAAGAAACTTGAGCACAGAATTGCAAAACTGTGTTAATACAAACACTAGTTTTTCTGAAGGGGTTTATACATATGTGCTATCCTAATCTGTCTAAACACTACTGCTAATTATAAAATTATCAGCGATGTGTTTTCTAGACTGTTTTAACACCAAGAAAACATGAAATCCTACTGGCAACGGAGAATGTATTCTGCTTATATACCACTGATGCTGTACATGCAAAACATACCAACACAGAAAGACTGCATGCATACCAAAGCAAGTCTGTGACTATACACTGAACACATATGGGAAGGTTTTCAACTTTTTTCCTTTTATCTGCAGCTAGGACAAATTCTTCTTTTATATTCCCATCCCCTGAGATAAAATTTCTCATGAAGTGTAATCCCCAAGCTTGTACCTGCTTTCTGAAACAAGACTAACCTGCCAATGTGGGAGATCTTTATCCTTTCGTTTGGGACCACCTCCTTTCCATTTTTCAACCAGATTCCTTTCACATTTTCATCAGAAACTTCACACTTGAAGACTGCCTGGTCGCGTGCCTTCACTGTCAGGTCTGCAATGCTCTGGTAAACTTCCAGCTTTTTCTCTGATATTGTGAGAATAATCGATACACGCATCAACAAATCAGAGCAGCAGAATAGTAGTAGAAAAGGCTAGGGCTGAGCAAGCTGTCTGGAAGAGCGAAATATGAAGGGAAAGCCGCAGCATGCAGGGCTTTAACAGGAGTGGGAGATAAGCACCTGTTATCATCAGAGTATCTGTTACATCCGCACACAGGTCTGAGTTCTCTTTGAGGCCTTTATTATCAGACATTATGCCTCTTATTAAGCCTTCTTTTTCCCTGGCATGAGGACTATGCAGTACTCTGGAGAGGGCTGCCTTCAGCCTGTTTTAATTTTTCAGCTTCTCTAGTTCTGTAATATTACCTGTGCCTACCTTGTACAATTAGTTCAGCGACTGATACTCCACCATTGGTCTTCACAGTGTAGTGTCCACTGTCCTCCTTGGTTGACTCATTAATAATTAGATACTGCTTTTTTCCATCTTTCTTGAATCGGTATTTGAATGTTTCTTCCCGTGTCAGCTCAACCCCATCCTTTTCCCTGCAATGCCAAATAGTCTTGAATCATTTTTCTACAGTTGAGAGGAAAGGAGGAGTCAGCTCAATGTTACCAGAGATTGGAAGACACAAGATAAATCCAATTTTTGTAGCATTTCAAGTTAGTGAAAGAGAGACCATTGCACAAATGTTCATGGAACTAGAATGCTTTTCACTTAACCATTAATTGTTACTAGGTATTTGACTTATCCTTCAAGAGAGTTCACTCACAAGGAATGACTTGTCTATTGCATACTATTTGTATTCCATAAATAAGCATGAAAGTATGTTAAATGCTGTAGGAGATACATATATGAAAATACACTTTAATCGCCAGGGAATTTACTATCTTAAAAACTACCATAAGGTAAATGGGACTTGCTGGGAAATTACTTAAAAGTCTGATTTTTCCTGATGTGATTTACAATTATTATAAATTCATGGTTTGTGGGCATCGGTAAAAAATCAAGATGTAATTTGGATTTTGTAGCCTTTTCCGTTCAAGGATGCCACAGTGAATTGAAGACATGACTAAATTAAGATTAAGCTTCACCATCCAGCCTGGGAGGAAATTTAATTATTGTAATTTCCAGTCATCATTAGGGGAACAAGCAGAGAGTATTCATGCTGTTTAGTGAAGGTCACACAAAAATACATAAGACTTTAAAAAGAGTTCCTCTTCCTAATCCTAAGTAATATAAACAGGCTAAAAGAAAGTAACTTGTGATTTCTTCTTCCTTCTGTACCATTTTATGTTTTTCATTACTATTTGAATATATTTCTGTTATGTTACTTGAATACTGCTGCAGCTTGTAAACAAAAAAGTTTTTGTCTTTGACATTTACTCATGTGGAAAAAGAAACAAAAAAGATGTTATGCTTTTAATAGAGTAAGAATTTTTGAATGTGTTTTTTCCCTTATTTGTTACCAGCGACTGTTCACCTTAAGAGATGAGCTTACAAGACAGAAAATTGAAATGCTACTTAGGGACTGTCTCTTTAATTGCTATCTAGGCGTGTGCAAGAACACCCTGTGCTTCTGCTAGAGTCTGCTGAGGTAAATCAAAACCCAAAACTTAAAGCAGAGACAGGAACTCTACAACTTGTGACTTAGATGTACCTGCTGCAACTGCATTTCAAAATACCTACAGGTTATTAGCTCCTAACTGTTCTTTACAGCATGGCTTGCAGGAACCTATAGTTGGTCTAGAAAATTTCTGGCCTCCCTTACACATCGCAGGAATACAACACTAGTAAGGGAGGAAACAGAGGATGCCTGTAACAACTATATGAAACACACCACTCAGTGTTATGTCAGGATAATGTTTCCTTTGCTTTCTGAGTGGCAGGAGTCTGAGGCCTGTCACAAGCAAAATGCTCTCCTAAAGCTGATACTCTCATTCATGCCGATTGGTTCTGGAACAAGTGCTATGATGCAATGCTGAGCTGCTGAGAACGGATTGTAATCCAAAAGCTCAACATGCTCCTGTGGTGAGACCAAGCAAGTGTTCCAAGGCTGAACTGTTAAATTTATTTTTTGGTGGTGTATTTTGACACGTGGCTCATGAAAGATACGTGAATGTTCTATTTGGCCATTGGTAAGAAAGAGATCTCTTGAAATCTTTTCTAAATAATGAAAACAAGCTACTTGCAATTATTATTGTCTTAAATCCCTAGAATGGTGTATTTAACTTCTGTTTGTTTTACTGACTAGCACATTGCTGATCCTGTGTATGAGTAGTGTGTTTGCAGAGGGGTGCATTGACATAGTGGAGTGACAAAACTGTAAACCTCAAAAAAACGAACTCCAGGTGTCATTTGCTTAAAATAATACACTGTTGCAGTGAAAAGAGAAAAACTTCATGTAAGGTAATATTTAGGGCCTTCCTTTGGTAACTAGAGCAATTAAGTAGAAGAATCAGTTGGCATTAAAGTGTAAGTGGAGGATTTTATAGAAGCATAGAAGTGTTGGTTTAAAGACCACTGTAGGTAATTTGATCTAGCCTCATATTTGTCAGAGAGCTAGTGCAATAACAGGTAGGTCAGCCATAGCTTAGTCTGTCCAAGTCCTGAACATCTGTAAGATCACATCTATACTCAACTTTGCCACTCAATGCCTGATTTCTTTGTCAGGAAATGCTTTCCTATTTCCTGTTTAGATTCTAAGGATAAAATCCTTAATGTCTTCTGAGATGTCACTGGTATAGGTACTATGTGACAACAGGGAAAAGCATTATTATTAATTACATTACTATAGTTTGTTTTCATTTGGAGCTGATAAGATGATATGTCCAGCATTCAGAGATGGAAAAATCAGATCAAACCTATGTATTTTATTACATCTTTTCCTTCAATAATTGTATCATTTCTAAGACCATCTGAAGTTTAGAAGTAAGTACTCCATAGAACTAGGAAAAATCAGATCAAACCTATGTATTTTATTGCATCTTTTCCTTCAATAATTATATCATTCTAAGGCCATCTGAAGTTTAGTAGTAAGTACTCCATACAACTACATACTGATAAGGTGAGACCTTTCTGGGTGATCAAGGGAACATTTTTTCCTAATTAATTCTCCAAGCCCTAGCCTGATGGCCATGCCTAAGAGGCTGTAAGCCTTACTTCTGTCTTGTGCAAGTCACATGATCACTTTTGTTCATGTGCTTGTGATTTCATATCCCAAGTTTAAAGGGTGCAAGAGCTGTAACAGGTGTCCTGAGTTATTGCCTCTTGGCTTAATCTGTCGAGTATTTCCCTATTGAGCCATAAAACTGGAACCCTTTCCCCATAGTGTGTTTCATGTTTTCCCTGAATGCTTCTCTCAGCTGTCCAAAATGTTCTGTTTTTGCCAAAGAGCATTGACTGAGTATCACATAACAAAACCAGTAAAATACAGTGTTAATATCTAACTGCTCAGTTTTCTGTTGCTATGATTTGGAGAGTTGCTCTGACCGCTTGCTGCATTTCAGGCTGAGACAGCTGCAGGTTTGCCCTTGTCACACCAAATGCCCATCCCACAGATACCAGCTCTGCAAGATGTATGGGAGTTGTTCAAAGGCATAGGATCAAAGTGTGGCAGATGCACTGTGCTCTGAGAGGGACAGATCTGGTTGTCCCCATCTCTTGTGACCAGGCATCTGTAAGTAGTTCCTGAAGAACAGCATGTGTGTGTCTGCGCATGAGGCTTTGGTAGTGTAATGCACATGCTGTACTAGCTCTTGGACTCTATTTAAATTCTCAGTTCCTTCCTTTGGGAGAGCAGATGAGTGGTTGGCACTTTCCAGGAATGCAATGTGCATTGTGGGAACAGTTAATAACCACGTGCCTGAAGCTGTTAACAAGCACAAGAGAATTTCATCTGGCAGAGAAATGAAGTGAGAACAGTGTGCGTAAGACCTGGTATGTGAGCACTGCCTGCTGTGCCTGCCCATGCAGCGTGAACCTTCCAGCTTCCTCTCAGCTGGAATGCCCAACAAAATGGACTCTATGGTCTAAATGTTTATCATCTTAATCCCGCTCACTGTGTATGCATAATGACTGGCTTTGCAGGATCACCACAACAGATACGTTAAAATTAGTCAAGGACCTTCCCTCTCTGTCTCAAGAAACACTAACCTTTTACCTAAGAAAAAAATACTTAACCCCCCCCTACATCTCACTGCAGTTGAGAAGACCAGAAGATTCCATAAAGTCAGCAATCTCATCACAATACAAATCTGATTAATCTGGGCACTACTTAGACATTACTGTCAAGTGTTTAGAAAGCATTAAACAGCTCAGTACAATCAGTAGCATCCTATAGATGCTACAGAATATAGACTATAGAATATCTATACTTCAGTCATTTTCTGCCATGTTCTGGCCTCTTATTGACTCTTCAGTGTTTGACATATAGGAGGAGAATCAAACTTTTCTTGAAAACAATTAGGTAGGATGCCTTCTTCCTTCTTATTCCACAACTCTTGTCCACAAACACTGGCCTTAGAATGTCCCATGGAGGTATATGTATGGTTTCATGTTGTTTGCATTTTTTCCCCTTTTCTGTTCCCTTACCATTTCACAGTAGCTCCTTCCTCAGACACTTCACACTCAAACTCCACTCTTTCTCCAACCATCACCATCTGGTCCTCCAGTGGGTGAGTGATAAGGATTGGAGGTTCTGAAAATGAAGAGACTTTTATTAAAACATTATTCTGAAGACTGAAGATCAGAGGTGGATTTCACCACTCTGCACTCCACAGGAAAAATCCCTGGCCAAACACATGGTGATGCTGTCTTGGTTGGAACTTAACATTTGCTATGCTGGATCACATTATTAATATGGTAAAATTACCTTTTGTTTTTTGCTTTATGAGACAGAATACAAACAGAGGATTGATCACTTTTCATGTCTATATTGACGTTCTCAACTGGAGGCATTAGTTTTTAGTAACTGATTGATCTGGTTTAGACTTGAGGCACACGTTTATCTTGAGCAGAATACAATTTTTGAAATAAGCATCTAGCCCTTTTGTTGGGAAGATGTAAATCACATTCCAAATGAGAATTAATTGTCGTTATTACTGTGATGTTTCCTTGTGCTTTCTTAGCTGCAGCTACAGGGAAAATTTTCCTTCATTTAACTCTGTAAGAAAAGTATCTACTTCAATAAAGACCAGAATTTGCTCATATGTTTTCTTTCCTACAAGGTGAACTAATCTGATGGTACAGCAGGTGACAGTAATTCAATGCTAAACGTTAAAGGAGATCTCTTTCTGTTTGCTACCATCGCTCACCTTTTACAAATAATTCTGTGAAGCTCTTCTCATCCCCTACCACACATTCATATGCTGCATCGTCAGCCAGAGAACAGTGGTTTATGGTCAGTATTCGCTTATTCCCAACAGCCTCAAAAATATATCTGAAAAGAGAATCTTAGTGTAATTATCAGAGAGTGATTCTTTTGGACCCAGTCACTGTCTTGCCCTGCCTGTCAGACAAAAAGGTTCCTACCTTTTTTCTGACATGAGTGGTAAGTTTTGTAATGGCTCAAGCCCTGTATCTCTGTCTGGGTGCAGTGGATAACAGTAGTGTTTGAAAGACTAGTATAGGAAATTGAGAACTCTTCACAGAGGTGTGAGGTATACAAATTTCTGTGAGTTATGTTGGCTGCTTTTCTAACATCTAGACATACAACAAACCTGACTACTCTTAAAAAAACTTTGCCATGGTTTCAGCACAGAAATCGCTGGAAACTGGTGTTACAAACAAGGTACACTGAAGTATATCCCATATCAAGAGAGAGTAATTTTGAAATCTGGATATACACATAAAGATCAGAATATAATCTGAGGACTTACTTGCTTAGTAGATAGATGTAAGCATCCAGTTCCACGTGTAGATATATAGAGCAGAGGGAAGAAAAAGAAGAAGTCATGAGAACAGCAAAATGACCCTGAACTTGTAGATTATTCATCAGCTCCTATTTCTCCTTTTGGTTGGTTTGTTGTTTTTTTGTTTTTTTTTTCTTCTTCCCCCTAGGAATAGCTAGTTTTCCCACTTTGTCCAAACTATATCTCATTCCTTGTTGGCTTTTCCATATTTCTAACTTACCTGCCGCTCACTTGGATCTCTTGTCCATTCTTCAGCCATTTCACATCAGCATCTGGATTGGCAACTTCAACCATTAATTTAATCTTTTGCCCTTTGTCCACTTGGTAAGCTGGATCCAGTTTCTTGAGGAATGCTAAGATTAAGAATGATTTTTTAAAAAAATCTTAATTTTTAATGTTGTGGTTTTTTTCTTTTTGTTTTTTTAAATAAGATTCTCTGTCAGGAAAGTAAATCTTTGTTCCCTTCCCTCTTGTTTCCCATCTTCTTCATCCTTCCTTACTTTCTGCATCCCTGTTTGCATTTTACCAGTTCTCTGTTCTTCATCTTGTACTGTTTTCTGTTTTTCCTTAACATAGAATGAAAAGCATGGGATAGAAACTAAGGTAAGCAAAGTAGAATTTCCTAAATCAGATGTGAACATGTATGGCGACACATCCGAAATCAAGGTATAGCTATGTCTGCCTGTGTAGGAAAGTTATACCCATCATCTCAGTACTAGTGAAAGGCAGTTTGCCTTCTCTCTTTCAGACTTTTAAAACAAAGTGGTTAAAATTAGGACATTAATACTTCACAAAACTAGAAAAGGCTTGGGAATTCCAAAAGTGTTATCCCATTGGAAAGTGAATTCTTTGAAAGTACCAAATTGATCATATTGACCAGTTTTAGGGGCAAGGGAAGTGGGGGCTGTTGTTTTATGCTTAGGGACTTGATGCGTTTGAGGCGTTTCAGCATCCCACGCAAATCTGTGATTCCATACTGAAAAGCTATTTTCTCATATTCAGAAGGAGGAGCTTTCCTCAGGATTTCCCAGACATCAACATCAGATTGTGATTCAGATTTTGCTTCACCTCTGCAGAAAGGGATTAAGTATCCGAATGCCATTACTGAGAGGATTTAAAAACATAGGATTGCAACAGGATTGGCAAACTACACATTAGCTTGATGAAGCCATTTCTTAATAAAAATTTAGCAATCCAGCCTTTTAACATATTATTACCTAAAATAATTAATTAAATAAATAAAACTAGTGACTAGTTTTACTTATGTTTATATTTAGAGTGATTAAAAACCAATTGCTGTCCTGAAGGGTTTACTTTCTAATAGCCAAGGCCAATAAATATTAACTTCCCGTTAATGACGGGTAATGGAAACAAAAGGAGACATCTTCCTGAGGGAAAAGGTGTGACACAAAATGTATGACAGAGCAAGGAACTGAACTGATATCCTGAGAATGCCTTAGAAACAAGGCAGTTGGTTTATGTTAAAAATAAACAAGTCCTTTTCTATTCAGAACACTTTATTTTCCCTAAAATGAATCACAGATTGTTAAAATATTTTTTTGTCCATTGTAAAGACAATTGTTTGCTATAGTAATCTTTAAAACATAAAGCCATGTAGACTGGTGAGTAGTGGCAAACAAGAAAATATTTACAATGGACTACTTATTTTTTAGTTTAACCAAAGAACTAGTGATTGGAAGACTGGAAGAATTCATGTTTGGTTTAGCAAAACCAAGTGAAAATTTGGTAGTGTGGGTTTGTGGAAGGCATTATATTTTCTGTTGGGTTTATGTTAAAAATAAACAAGTCCTTTTCTTGCCCTTGTTGTTGTTATTAGTATTATTTAAAAGGTCAAAATAGAAAAAGAAATTGGCATAACCTTACCCTTTTGATGAGCGCAAAAAGCTGCTGCACTCCAGAATGACGCAGAGAACCATTTGGAAAAATATGCAGCATCCCAGTGGGCAAGAAAGAGGGCATCATGTTAATGCAAAAGGACCGTGAATGTCATCTTCACCTTTAACAGAACATGCCTGTGCTTAAGTAGCAGGGAGATGAAGGAGCTCATGCAAAAGCTCTGAAATAGGCCTATGAAATAAGCTGTTCCCTATTGCAACCCAACTCACTCCCACGTGCAATTGGTCTTATGAGTGTGAGCACTTCTGCTTATTCATCATTATGGCTGATCACCTTATAGCAAAACAAATAGCTCTGCTTTGCCCTCTCATCAAGGAGTTGTTCCCTTTCAGAGTTTGCATTTCGGTAAACAGAAAAAGGATGCAAAAAGTAACATCTTAATAGAAATGTCTTTAGGAAAAGGAGCCTGCTATGGCTATTGTTTCTGCTGTCATCAGGACCAAGCAGATTCCAGTGCAGCAGAACACAGCCTTGTAATGAAGCCATGTTCACTGGTAAAAAACAAGCAGACAAATTTTGCAGCAGCTAATGCAGAGAAAAATGAAGGATTATTTGGCTGCTTTTTTAAATCTCCTTTCCCAGGAAAAGAGCAGATTGATTAGCCTGTGAAAATACAACTTGTTAAAAAGCGTGCCTGTAGTCAGTCTAGGCACCGTGTCTAACCAAACATTTATGGTACTCCTTTTATTGCCCTCCAAAGAGCACTATGTTTATTACAGCCCTGCAGTTCAGGCCTGGAATTTCCAGCACCCTTGTAGCTCTTGAAGAGAAGGAAAGCAGGAGAGGAGGATTTCAGTTCAGTGTGTTTGAGATGAAATACAGCAGGCAATATTTTATCTCTTTGGAGTGTTTTAGCACTCACTAAGTCCTCACTAGCACTCATGAATTGATAGGTGCTTCTGAAGTTTGGACTCTTTATGGTAAGTGCAGCTTACTGAGTGAGTATTTGCTTTGTTATATCAGTGCATCAGTATCACCCACAAATTTGATAAAACTTCCTCTTCTCTATATATCTATTTTTTAGTTTAGGGCAGCTTCAAATGTTTTGTAGTTTTGGCTAGCATAAGGCAGGATAATTTAACTGATTTGCCAAATAGACCAAGATTTTGTTTTTTTAACATAAGAGGTTCTTGGGCTAGTTGTCCTGATCATATCCATGAACAACTTAAAAAATATTTCTCAATACATATAAATTGGAATAAATATATAAGTACATAAAACTAGAAAAATATAAATATATTTCTAATATGTGCTGAGTTCTTTATACTAGTACAATTAATGTTCTGTGAAGCAAAATGTATCTCAAAAAGAAATATAAAATAATAGGAAACAAGAAAGACTTAACAGATTCAAAAGTTATTATTTTCCCTCAGGCATTATATAAATATTGTTTGGTCTCTCTTTCTATCTGCCTACTTACATGTTCATCTGTATTCACCCCTTTACCTGAAAATTTGCAGGTAGGATAACTCATGGAGTTTTCAAAAATATTTTGTGTGAATTATTTTTAAATACATCATGAAAATAATCTTCCAATTTGGAAGCAATTCCACAGTCTAGGATATCTCCCTATTGAGAAGACTTCCTAAATTTCTGCTTTAGCTTTTCCATTATTCAGTGTCATCTCATCATTATATCTGGCAATACTCTTTTGGTGCATGCAGACTGAAATACAGGAAATTTGATCATAAACAAGAGTATAGGCTCTTCCTTGGGAATACTAATTTTTACTAATTACAGGGAAAGGCTTTTGAGTTGATGTAAAATGGTACTAAAAGCTAAAGGTTGTAATTTGTACAGTGTTTAATGGAGTTTTGAAAAAGAAAGAAATCTTTCTTTTCCTCTGAACAAAGGTTTCCTGATCCCAGTACTCTTTGTTAGCATTTTGCACTTTTGTTAAAACTTTCTCTTTGATCCCATAAAGACACAGTTTCCACAGCTGGGCTGTACTCTTCCACTACCCACAGGAACTAAGCAGTGTATGAAAAGTACTACAGCACTTGGACTCCTGAGGTTTCTCCCACCCTTACATTATACTCCCTGATGTTGGGGATCTTTATTCAGAGTGATCACCTCATAGGTTAACTATGCATTTGGGGGCATTAAGATGCAGCTTAGTGAACCTGCTGTAAATGGAATATGCAGCTGATATTTTTTAAACATATGTAGAGGGGTTAAAAATAGTTTTGTACATCCCAGAGATGGTTCCTTCCTATCCCGTTACTGTCAACTGATTGGACCCTGTCAGCTGTCACCTCCTTCAAGGTCTCTGCTCACTATCCCATGTAATAGTTCTGTGACAGCTGTTCCCTTCCTCTTCCCAATGACCTCTCCTTGGCCCATGACATCTGTATGTCAACACCACTTAATTAAATTACAGCAATAGGAGATACAGTATTAAATGAAGCTCTCTTTATTATACAAGGAATGTTTGTTACCTCTGGACTGAGGAGTGTTTGTACATTAGGTGGCACAAAGCAGAAATGGTAAAAGAATAATCTTCAACTCTATTGAATCTGCATAGCTCTGGAGAGTTCCTCAGCATGAGGTCCCTTTTAATATTCTATGCTATTTTAATATTTTCATCCCATTACGAGTTTGGATGTCTAGCTGATCTTACTAACATAGGAGTGGTCTTGTGATGTGCAAAGCCTGAAGCATCCACAAATGTGGCCGTGAAAAGCAACTAGGAGCCTTACCTTTCTATAGAAATAGGAACATGTGTACAACTACTCTATTTGAGCTCTCAAACTTCTACAGTTTGATAACTGCCATATTTTTTTTTCAGAAAGCATACTTTCCGTACTTGCAAATTACAAAAAATTTGAATTGACCCAAGTAGTTAACTGTGAAAACTTCAGCTGAGTAAGTTTAGATTTGCAAAATATGAGTCTAGTGACAAGTGTTTATAGGAACTTCAGGAGCTGGAAAGACAGAGGGAGTGGCTAGGGGCTGTACACAAGAGGAATTGTGCTTGGAGTGATGGGATGGTAGCTTGGAGTGATGGAAACTTTATATGGAATAAAAATAAATAATTTCTAACAAAGCAGCCTGTACCTCAGTAATACACTCACTTATATTTAAGGATCAAGCAAAACTTCAGTGTGTATTTTGTCACACTGTGTCTGCCCTCCCTGGCAGTGTTCAAGGCCTGGTTGGATGGGGCTTTGAGCAAACTGTTCTAGTAGGAGGTGTCCCTGCCCATGAAGGGGGGGTTGGAACTAGATGATTTAAGGTCCCTTCCAACCCAAACCATTCCATGATTCTATGACTTGATAGGCACCAGCAGGCACATTATGCAAATAATTTATCTGATTTCAATTGCTATGACAATAGGTCAGAGAGAAATCTGGAAAATTACAAACTGCTTATAAAAGAAAGTAATGGTGAAACCAAGAAGATATTCAGAGAAATACATTCATTTTTATTGAATGGTCCATCCTTAACTTCTACTAACTGTTTAAAAGGATTTCTGTCTCAGAAATTGTCAGCTGTTAATTTTTTTCATCCCACCTAATTTTTTGTCATGCTTTACACATGAGAAAGATAATGATGCATGCATAATTTCAAAATAAATGGTTCTTATATTCAGTCTGATCCATGCATTTATAATAAAATGAAATTGAAATCTTACTCTCTGTTGGCAACAGTGGAATCCAAACCACCCAGGTTTAGATGGTGGTAAGAAGGGAAAAACAAGTAGACAGGTTATGAAAACAGATATGGCAAGGCAGGATGAAAATAGGAGAGGAAATTCCACCCAAAAAAGTGAAAGTAAAAGCAAGAAGTAATAATTAGAATCAGAAGAGTACATATTTATATATTTATACAACATAGAATATATTTTTATAAATTACAAACACCTATATAATAGTAACATTTAAGTATCTAAAAAGTCTTGTCTGTCCAGTTCTGTGATGTGAGGTATTGTAAAAACTTAGGTCAGAATTTTTTTAATAAGGCAGCATCATGGACAGGTATTGTAAATAGTCGTTGTGGTTTGGGTTTCTTAGTCTGAGAATTTTTTCTCTTGGGAAAGACATTTCTCCAGCATAGACCTAGCAAAAACACAGCAATTGCTAATTATTTGAGGAATTTGCCATCATTACCTGTCATCCTTTTTTTAGTTAGAGCTGCTTTAGGAATATTGGAAGGATTCTGAATTTATGAAACTTTTGCTTATTCTAGTTTTAGTGTTATCAAAGTTGTTCAGCATAAGCTGGTTACTTTATTTCTCTAAGTAGATGGATTTTTACTCACCTCTTTTTCAGCAGGGCACTAAAATTAAACTCTCCACCTTCTTCATGTCCCTCGGTACTGGGTAGTAACAGAAAACCATAATTAGTTTCAGCAGGCAATGGGAATAGCTGTGAGACTATAGCATAATGTAGGTGATATATTTTTTAGAGGAGTAGTAGATGGGTGTAGAATTACTTAGAATGTATGCTGGCATGGAACATGACTTAATTAGGCTCTTTGTTCATATTGGTCTTCGTATAGGTTTAAGAAATATATTTAATGAAGTTGTATTTTTTCTGTACTGGTTATGGTTAAAGTTGTACATGGTGTGGTAATGTACAGGTAATGTGGTGATCATATTGATCTGGAATGCATTCGTTATCATCAAGATGTTGCAGAAACTTTCCTTTAGTATCATTGCTGCTTTTGGAAAGCTGTAGTTTCAGGAATGTGGATGTTGTTTATAGTATAGGGCAGCATTTAACCAACCTTTTTGTGGGACTTTTTACAATCTAAAATATCATTTTTTTTCCCCTCCTGGTGTTATCCCAGCTGTAATTGTTTCTTAAGGCTATTTTTATTCCAGAATTCATTATACTGGAAAAAGTGTCACATCACTGGGACTTGGGAAAGTTAGAGAAGGAATTGTGTGTTCTGAATTTGATTCTGAGATGGGGTTTGTTGTGCAGTTGTTCTACAAGCTGCATGGTAAGCAATGTTGTGATGAATTGATTTGTGAGAACAAGAAGCATGGGGTTTTTTTATGTGTTACCTATGGTGAACTCAGATGGAATGCAGAGTGTTATTTTTGGTGCTCTGAATCAAAGTGTTTAGCACAGTGATAGCTGTGCTTCTTGTGCTCAAATATTCAAAAATCAGAATCTACAGCTGGCAGAATAACTCATCACCTTGTTGCTTCCCAAGTGGTACTTAAATAAAATTTTCAGGAAAACCCAGCAACCAATATTTAACTTTTCTGAAGAATAAGACCCTAATGATTGCTTTAACATGCACAGAGTTAAGTCTGATCTCAGAGTTCCTATTTTTGTTATGGTAGAAGACATTAGAATCAAAAGGGATAGGGAAGGAAATTCAATGACACTAGGATAAAGAGTGTGCCAGGAAACAGTAGATTTTCATATACACGAGTGCTAGTACATTTCTGTGAGCAGTGGCAATTTTAGTCCAGCTGTGCTCAGTAGAGAGGAAAACATGTAAAACAGAGGGGGCAGACATGCATATAATTTGAAGTGACTTTTTTTCTTCTAACAATGGTGAGAAGATGCCACTTGCCAAACACATGCCTTTTCTGTAGATTAATCTGCCTCTCGCTGAACTATCAAACTACTTTTTTCATTATTTATATTCATCTTATATTACAACTTAATTGTATGTATTCAACTCCTATAAATGCTACATATTATAAACAATTATTTGTTTGGAATTTAAGCTGTGGCTAGTTCTGTGTTTTTGTTCTTTGTTTTGGTTTTGTTTGTTTGTTTTTTCTTTTATTTTTCTTTCTTTAAAAATATATATGTATTTTTTATTATTATTTTAAATATTTTTATCTTCCTAAGCAGAGAGAGACAGTTTGTTGTTAGACTTGAATTTGTCTGCTGACACAGACAGTGGCTACCTGAGAAAGGCTGAAGTCATCCGTCTGCCCCCTCCTGCCAGGCTCCTGAGTGAGGGTATCAAAGACAAAGCTTCAGATTTAAACAGTTCAGTTCAAAATTTGGCTCCATTCTTATAGAAGAAACTGGAAATCTGAATAGCCTGAAGCTGCTTGCAATGCACTCACTCTAAAGTGATTCCTAATTATTTTAATTGTGCTAGCAAGAGAAGAAACTCTTGAAGCTGAATGTCGCTGCAGTGAAGTAACCCAGTACAGCTATGCAACGAGTGTCCTCTATTTAGTAGGCCTCACAGTGAGGCTGCTCAGCTGCTCATAGGTGGATTTGAGTGTAGATAAATTCTGCAGGCCTTTTTTAGTTCCTTGTGATAGAGTGGTAAAAAACCCCCCTCATATAACATTGGCACTTAGAGGAAAACACTGAACGAGTTGCCACAGATTATTTGAGTCCTGTGTTAGAGGAAAAGAAGTCTGTTGTAATACTCTTGGCCTAATAACTTTGCAAAAATATATAAAAGCTAAGCCAGAAGCTGCATTACATGAAGGGGAAGAAATAGTCAGCAGTGAAAAAACACATGGTTAATGTCTAAATAAAAGAAAACCCCCACCGTTTCTGCAAATTTTTACTAATATAAGGGAACATTATTCCATTAAGTCATATATTAAGTTGGACAGTATTACAGATGTGGGAAGAACATAATTTTCAACACCAGTGCAATACCTTGCAGTCTTTAACATCCAAGACCTACATATGTCTGCATTTTTACACAGTATCATTGTATCCATTCAATTACTGTAATTATAGAATGTAAAAATTAAAACTATCAAAAAGCTTCTATTAATGTTATCAGTGATATGCTGTTTACAGAGCTCACATCAAAGTCCACTTCTTTATTTAGGAAATGGTTGTATTAAGGTACATGCAGTTCCTCAAGCCAGACCAAATCAAGACTAGGTGCAACACAGAATCAGAAGGGGAAAAAAGTGCTGAACTTCTTGGTAGGATTATACACATTATCAATTGTGTAACTGAAGTAAAGCTATGCTAGTATAAAGTCTAAACTCTCTTAGGTGATTTCCAGGAGTTGTATGGTATTTTAATAGTAGAGATATTTTCTTAAAAGAAGTATCTTTTTAGTAGACATCCCTATCTCTGTGCTTGTTTGCAAAAACAAGCTTTGCTTTTACTTAGTTTTGTCTAGGAAAGTAATGAATTCCATGAGGAACTATAAGCTGGTCTACATAATATTCTACTGTACATACGTGCGTCGGAAGGCAGCGCGAATATCCAAGTCTCCAGTTATTGGTGCTTCTGATGTGACCAAAAGTGATGAACAAGAAGAGGAGAGCAAATTAAAACAATGCCAAAATACAGCGCTGTTTCTAAAGATTTTGGTTTGCAAACTTTTTTTTTTCTCTAAAGTTCTTTTATTTTAAACGGTGATCAGTTATGTATTGAAAGACTGAAGCATCATCTTTAAACATGTAGCCTTCACTAATTAAATTCAACATCCAGTGTTTTGTTTATGACTGTCTCATGCTTTTTAATAACCTGCATCATGACAAACCATCTTATCTCTTTTTCATCAGTTCTCCTGCTGGCAAATTTTAGTTTCAATACTGAATTTCCAGGATATTTAAACCTTTATGAGACAAGCACTGGATATCAATTGAATATGATTACTACTAATAAATTGTAATCCATCCTCTGAAAGGAAAGGTACATTCCTGGGAATACATAGAGACGTACAAAATCTGAACTGAGGGTGTTGCGTAGAGAGAACGTTATTACTCTGTTCTAAGCTTCTTTTGTATGAATAGGTGTACTGCTGCTAGTGGGAGGAAAACTGTTCTCAATCACAGTTCCTATGTCTTAGGAGTCCAACAGCCAATGAGTGAAACTTCCAAAATTAACACTGCTGATTGAGTACCTTTATAAACACTTGTTTTTGAATATTAGGTTCATTGCTTGCTGGAGACAAATTAATGTTGCAGTTCCATCAACAGAACCACTGAAACAGGAAATGGTCCAAATGTTCATCTCTTTCAGGTGATCCATTATTATGCTGTTTTACCTACACTCTTCCCCACTAGGGGGAAATTGATGTTAAAATGTACTTCCTTTTCAATTGCTGGTAAGCTTTTCAGTATAACAGTTGTGAGACTGCCACCAGATAGTATCTAAAATGAGTTATCTAAAAGCAATTTTATCTCAAGTTGCTTCTGCATGACTTGAATTTGCCAGGAAGAAAGGAATTCATAATAGGGTCATATATCTAAATCTTTCCCTTTGCCCCTTTTTCTTCTTTTCAACTATCCATATTTATTACTAAGCTTTTGCCAAAGTAAGAATGGAGCTGAAATCACTTTCACTAAAATTAAATATCATGAGAGAATGGAGCTGAAATCAGAATAAAGCCAAAAAAAATGTTGGGCTGATTTGCATCTTTCTGTGTGCTTTCTTAAAGAGTATCACAGTTCTGACCTGAAGGACTTCTAATGCTCTATATGGCTGTAAGTGTACATGCAGCTCCTTAGCTCTATCCTAAATATTTAGAATTGTCTAATTACCAGAGAGAATTATTGGTGGACATACTGGGGGAAACAAAAAAAATCTGTAGGGAATTCATCTCACCATTTACTGTCAGGTTGAAATTAGAACTATCAAACTTGTCCTTGGTAGACACCTCACATCTGTAGCCTCCTGCAAAAGTCATGTTTGCTTCTATGATTTCCATTTCAAAGGTGTACACCTAGAATAGACATCAAAGATACAGTCCATATGTTAGAAAATGAAAGACAGAGAGAATGTACATAAGAGATGAAGTATGTCACTGTCATCTTTTAGAATTAAGAACCTCTTAGGCATGCAGCTCATGGCTGTCATTAAAATTACATACAACCCCCCAGTTCTGTAGGAACAGCTGAAGAGTGTTAGTACAGGTCTTCCAGAGATACAATGTCAGTAAACTATGCCTGTGTACTGGTGTGTGCAGGCATCATAATCACTAACTGCATATATATTGGAACCAGGAATAGAGCTTTAATTAAACAAATAGGAGCTCCTCTACCCAGAATGTATCCAGTACATTTAAAAATTCAGCGGAAGGAGTGGCTAATGTGAGCAAGTCTGTTCGGTTCCATCCAGAAGGGGGTAGTAGTGTCTCATATACTTCACAGGATGAGAAGTCACGTACAGACTCTTGTATTCCTGTTGGTGTATCTTTGAACACATTTGTGGTAAAAAATGGATCGTCTTCAGCTATTTAAAGTAGCCTAGACAATGCAAGAGAACAAAAAATGCCCAAACTAATAGCTGAATGCTTCATCTGTTAAAACCGAGATAGATCTTACTTAAATATCTGTATCATGTTTTGTTTTCTCTTAAATATTATGAGTATCTATTACTTGAGGGGAAGATGTAGGAAATATTGCAGTAGATAGTGCAAAACTGCTGCTCTAGTCCTCCAGGCATTTTCATTTCATTGCCTGTAAGGTATGCAATGTCTCTATGTAGTGCTTGTCTCTTGCCTGCATGGTCAAAACATGAGCTTCCATGCATAAGTACAGCATTGTCTGTTGCTTTGAGTACCTTAATATCAAAACATTCATACATTAATTTACATTTTTCCCATATTAAAGGTTAGCATGTAGATGAGTGAGAATCTTACTCTGCCAATTGTACCTTTTTATTTCGATCATAACTGTCATGTAGCTGGAGATGTTGCCCCACTTTGCTTCCCAGGTCCATCCACTTCCCTTTGAACCATTTCACTGATGGTTTCTTCAGCAGGCTTTCCCCAGCCACTGTGGCAGTGAATGTGATGTTTCCACCTTATAAGGGAAGTAGGTTAAAATAATTTTTAATCTATTATTTTTAATTATTAAAATAAGATTTTAATAGTGTTTAATTGATCTGTTATATCATTGCTGTCACCCTGTACATAGAGAGCTGGATAGTCAAGCAACAGTTACAGGTTACAAACAGCACCTGACTCACATTTTGTACTCACCAACAGTAACTTCTCCATCCTGGGGTCGTGTCAGAAAGAGCCCAATAGGGTCGAGAGGCTCTTCTGGTTTAGTCTCAACAGGTGCAACTGCAATAAACAGCAGAATTACTAGTTAGAACTTTGTGCATCAGCTTCTGTTACAGCCCATACAGTAAATTTGTTAAGTAATTTCAGAATATCTCAATTTGTTTTTTCTGTCTCTGAGATTCCTTCTGTGTTGTTTTGTTTTTCCTTCTGTTGCTCATCACTACTGGTCTGCTTCCAGCTACTGTCTCTACCTCACTGACTCTAAGGATTCCCTGTTCCTGTTCTTCCCTTCTGCTAATAAACCAGTCTTATAACAGTGTTAGTTCTCCATTACCTTCTGTCTTTTGGCTGCTTTCTACTGGTTGAGCAAGTAACTCTGGGGCAGCTGGGGCTGGAGTAGCTTCAGCCGGGGCGGCTCGGTTCCCCTTTTC